CGATGCTATAGAAAAATGGAAGAAAAAGAACAGAAGTACAAAATTAAAAATCTTCCTAAAAAATCAATTTCCCCTGCAAACACCAAAAAACTTTTCACAAAATACTCACGAGGAGATGGACGAACAAAATTCAAGCAATTGAAGAAAGGATGGACGACAGCCTCCATCCCATCCCGACGCCCAAAACAAGTTACTGGACGCGACAGCACTACCTCCTGTAAAGTAGAGACGCACAATTGATATTTCAAAAACAATCAATTGCTGCGTGTCCACTATACCTTCAATCGACGAAGACGAACACAATCTAAATACAGATCGTCTCCAGTGAAAACGACCCGACGTCCATAATCAAACGCCAGGATCACGTCATCACTGCAGACGTCATCACAAAATACCTCCTGATTCTCCAAGACGCACCCTCCGTCAACGGACACCAGCACCAGCAACAACAGCAAAAACGTCACCCAGCAAACCATCTACGTAAATAAGACGAGCAATCAATCGACAAACATCGATTTCATTACGCGTCCGATTTACCTTTATTTTTCGCGAATTTTCTTTTTCCCAGAAAACTTGACTACGCGACGATATTTTATTTTTACTTTTACGCAACAAACAGAGAGACCAAAGAACACGGAAGGATCTGCAAGAGAGAACAGCCAATAGCTTAAAAAATTAAAAGTACAACATCTTTACGCTCTTGGAAAAAATTCAAGAAGACACTGGCTCAAACAAGTTAACTCACCAGTCAGACGTGTCGACACTGTCGACAGCCGATTGGCACTGCCGAACAACACTTCGATTCCTCCGGTTGAGAAGGTGTTTTTGTACACCATCTTGAAAAACCTTGAGCCTCCCCATCAAGAAATTTAATTTTCTTTTCTGGGTCAGCGCACACTTGCTCGCACTTATTTTGAAGGACGACAGCTCACTTGCCAACGTCGAAAATCGACGCTGTCAACCTTTTCGCGAGAACCTGCCTGATTTGTGGCTCCGAAAAAGGAATGGAACCTTTTTATTTTTGCCTGGCGTGAGTTTGTTATCCAGGAAATACTCGGGTTTGTTTCCAAGACCTCTTTTTAAATTGCACCTTACTTCGAGGAAGCAAACAAGGTTTTCTCCTTGCAGCTGTTCCCCTTGTTTTGAAATCTCTCTTCACACGTTAGACGTTTTGTTTACTTCCCAAGCCAACACAATTGAATTACTACCCAGAAGAAGCCAAATTTACCCCAAAGTTGAAATGATAATGAATCCTACCACTGGTGTTTTATCAGTTGTGTGAAAAAAGAAAATTTACGATGTTTTCCTAAAAACCCTGTCCCTGTATCTACCCTCAGGAAAAAACACCCCAGAACATCCCAAGAAGAGAAGAAAAACTCAAAGAATTTCGGTTCAACTTTTTATTTTTGAACCCTGTACAAATAATACAATGGCGCTAACAAAAAAGGATACAAAACCTGAAAAGTATGAAAAATTGCGCCGATTCACAGATTCTTCTCATCCTACCCAAATGATTACCACAACTGATTACTTCACGAATTTCCGCAACGACAACAAAACCGGATTCTTCAACGAAAAAAGAAAATACGACAACCGAAATCACGCCCTAAGCCCAAAATTCTGCAGTCCGAGGATCCTCCGTTAGTTCTCCTCCAAGAAGGTCCACCGGATCCTCTGGGCCCATGTCCTCCTTTCTACCCTCAGGAAAAAACACCCCAGAACATCCCAAGAAGAGAAGAAAAACTCAAAGAATTTCGGTTCAACTTTTTATTTTCGAACCCTGTACAAAATAATACAATGGCGCTAACAAAAAAGATACAAAACCCGAAAAGTATGAAAAATTGCGCCGATTCACAGATTCTTCTCATCATACCCAAATGATTACCACAACTGATTACTTCACAAATTTCCGCAACGACAACAAAACCGGATTCTTCAACGAAAAAAGAAAATACGACAACCAAAATCACGCCCTAAGCCCAAAATTCCGCAGTTCAAGGATCCTCCGTTAGCTCTCCTCCAAGAAGGTCCACCGGATCCTCTGGGCCCATGTCCTCCTTAGAATTCGTGGCTGTTGTACAACTCGCAACTGTTCTGCAGTCCAGCCACCTCACAGCTTGTCGAATGGAATGCCACTGAAAAAAGTTAGAAAAAAGAAATAGTGTCAGTGAATTACTACCCAGAAGAAGCCAAATTTACCCCAAAGTTGAAATGATAATGAATCCTACCACTGGTGTTTTATCAGTCGTGTAAAAAAGAATATTTACGATGCTTTCCTAAAAACCCTGTCCCTGTATCTATCCTCCAGACAAAAACCCCAGAACATCCCAAGAAGAGAAGAAAAAACTGAGAGAATTTTGGTTCAACTCTTTTATTTTCGAACCCTGTACAAAATAATACAATTGGCGCTAACAAAAAGATACAAAACCCGAAAAGTATGAGAAATGTGCCGATTCACAGATTTTTCTCGTCATACCCAAACAATTACCACAACTGATTATTCCACGAATTTTCGCAACGACAACAAAACCGGATCCTTCAACGAAAAAAGAAAAACGAAAACCGAATCACGCCCTAAGCCCAAAATTCCGCAGTTCGAGGATCCTCCGTTAGTTCTCCTCCAAGAAGGTCCACCGGATCCTCTGGGCCCATGTCCTCTTTAGAATTTGTGGCTGTTGTACGACTCGCAGCTGTTCTGCGGTCCAGCCACCTCACAGCTTGTCGAATGGAATGCCACTGAAAAAAGCCAGAAAAAAGAAATAGTGTCAGTTTCCAAACTCTCCAAAAAATTTTCTAAACACTGGAGAAAAATATTTACCATCACCAAAATCGGTAGAGGTCATGGAATCAAAATTACAAACAAATCCATCCAAATCCTCATCGAGATTATCAAAATTGATTGGTGGAAGATCTCCAAAAATTTCCTCTTCAACTTGCATTCGATTCTACCAAAAGGAGAAGTCTTTCTTAAAAACACTGTCTATCTTCCAGAAAGAGAATAAGTCCCAACTTTCAGAAAAAAGATCCAAAAATTCCTCTCACCTTCAAATAGAGTTGACGAACCCCCCACAATAGGAAAGCCATGATGGAAACTGCCCCAGATCCTCCACAGGCGACAATCAGATACATGATTGCCGTCTCCCCGCTGATGTTTGCCTCCAGCTGCCCATCCTTGACGCAAATTGTTACTTCAGGAATGAGGGAAGGCACTGGCGCTAAGATCCCTTTCCCCTCAGAAGCAACCGAATGTTTTAAAATTGCTTCCGTTGTAATTGTTGTCGTCTGAACCACTTTCGAAGTAGACGACAACGTCGTCGATGCTATAGAAAAAATGGAAGAAAAAGAACAGAAGTACAAAAAATTAGAAATCTTTCTAAAAATCAATTTCTCCCTGCAACACCAAAAAACTTTTCACGAAATACTCACGAGGAGATGGACGAACAAAAATCAAGCAATTGAAAAAAGGATGGACAACAGCCTCCATCCCATCCCGACGTCCAAAACAAGTTACTGGACGCAACAGCACTACCTCCTGTAAAGTAGAGACGCACAATTGATATTTCAAAAGCAATCAATTGCTGCGTATCCACTATATCTTCAACCGACAAAGACAAACACAATCTAAATACAAATTGTCTCCAGTGAAAACAACCCGACGTCCATAATCAAATGCCAGGATCACATCATCACTGCAGACGTCATCACACAATACCTCCTGATTCTCCAGGACGCACCCTCTGTCAATGGACACCAGCACCAGCAACAACAGCAAAAACGTCACCCAGCAAACCATCTACGTAAATAAGACGAGCAATCAATCGACAAACATCGATTTCATTACGCGTCCGATTTACCTTATTTTTCGCGAATTTTCTTTTTTTCTGAAAAACTTGACTACGCGACGATATTTTATTTTTTACTTTTACGCAACAGAGAGAGAGAGACCAAAAGAACACGGAAGGATCTGCAAGAGAGAACAACCTGTAGTTTAAATTTCAAAGTACAAAATCTTTACGCTCTTGGAAAAAATTCAAGAAGACACTGGCTCAAACAAGTTAGCTCACCAGTCAGACGTGTCGACACTGTCGACAGCCGATTGGCACTGCCGAACAACACTTCGATTCCTCCGGTTGAGAAGGTGTTTTTGTACACCATCTTGAAAAAACCTTGAGCCTCCCCATCAAGAAATTTAATTTTTCTTTTCTGGGTCAGCGCACACTTGCTCGCACTTATTTTGAAGGACGACAGCTCACTTGCCAACGTCGAAAATCGACGCTGTCAACCTTTTTGCGAGAACCTGCCTGATTTGTGGCTCCGAAAAAGGAATGGAACCTTTTTATTTTTGCCTGGCGTGAGTTTGTTATCCAGGAAATACTCGGGTTTGTTTCCAAGACTCAATTACCGCTGAAAGGCGATGCCTGCGGATCCGCTAATGAAACGTCTCTTGGGACTTCTGTGAAAAATCTCCGGCTCCCCCGCAGGCTTTGAAAGCAGCCTATATATTCGCTGTGCTTCAGCACGGGGAAATTGTCCCAGAAAGGGACCGAGTTCTTGATGGCAGTTTCATGTTTGAAACCGATTCACGAAGTCGCTGATCGTTGGAAACTTTCGGATTTTTTTTTCAGTGATTCGGAAGTCATTTGTTACAATCCCATTTCTTTGCCATCCGTATCGGGGCTCATTCTAGACAATTAATATTGAATCTGCTGTTATCCAGGAAATACTCGGGTTTGTTTCCAAGACCTCTCTTTAAATTGCACCTTACTTCAAGGAAGCAAACAAGGTTTTCTCCTTGCAGCTGTTCCCCTTGTTTTGAAATCTCTCTTCACACGTCACCCCAGGTTAAACAGCGTGACGCGCTTTTGTCCTCTTTAACTAATAAAACTCCCCCTCACTTAACAAATTTGGTTGTGAATAAAATATATTCTTTTATATATATTTGATCTGAAGTTGTTCATTTAATATCAGACAACATGGGTATTAAAGAAAACAAAAATACATCACAAAATGTACAATTGCACAACTGATGTAAACGCACACACTTTGTCTCCCTGACTAGATATCAAAAAATAACTATCACATCATTAAGCAAATAACAAATAAAAATTGAATCACAAGGTGTTCAGTCTGCTCCCAGATAAGTTTAAGTTGATTAAACAATTTAGAGAGGATTGATGAGGAGAAATTGTATAAAGCTGACAGTTTATCTTGGTTTATGGGTCTTAAACATAATTACACCTTCATCACAGTGCAAAGCCAGATAAGACAGATAATTATAGTTAAAAATAATAATTTTCCTACTTTTTTATATTCCAATTTGTTCTATTTTTAAGGCTTCTAGTTAATCACTTGCAGTTGGTCTCCATTCCAAGTACAGCACTTCAATTTGAAATCATGTTCTTTCCAGTAGGCTCCTGATTGTTCTAAAGCAAGAGTAAACAATCACAGCTGCTTTACAGTAAATTACGAAAAGGATTTAGGGAAAGCTGTTCATACCTTCACTGTTTTTATCCTGGAGCTTTTCACTTCAGAATTTTCATCTCAATCATGAAGGGATTTTGGTAGATTTCCCAAAAAGCTGAGAATAAATACAACACTCACTGCTTTTTCCTCTGGTTCAGGTGTTCTGGCCAACAATCTGGTCCCAACAGGACCAGGACAGAGAACAGTGACTGGAATATTGTGCCGCCACAATTCAGCCCTCAAGGAAGTGAAGTAAGACTGCACCAAGTTGTAAGGGAAAATATGAACAAATATTAACTGTATTGAATACATGTACTTCAAAAAATATAGCTGACATACATAAAGCATTTAATCACAGCATAACACTTTAGACCTATTTTTTGACCAAATGTATTTTAAAGAAATAAAAAGAGAACAAGCAATATGCACCATCTGGTTAGAATAACTTTTTGAAAGCTGCTGATGAAAATTTATTGGGGTTTAATTCCTCTCACAAAAATGATATTGCATACAATTTCATTCTGACCTCTTTGAAAAGTGAGGAATTGTGAATAATTATACACTGCTCACAGCAAGATAAAAAAAAATTCCCTGAAGGCAAGTACAGTAAAACTTCAATGAGAACTACCATTGTGGAATTTTTTACTGGGAACATTTGTTTGGCTGCAAGTTTGCCATATTGTTCATTGCAGTCTTCAGGGAAGGTAATACAATACAGTATTTTGCTTGGCATTACCTTATTGACACATGACCAGAAGATTTATAGAGTTGAAGAAAAACATATCTGGTTCCACAAATTTGAAGAAAGAAACCATATAAAACTACAGACATAGTTTCTTCACAAAATGCTGTTTTCAGCGTCACTGGGGGTTTTATGGAATTATAAATTTACATGTATCTTGCTTCCTGATTTATGTAAAGGTGAACTCACCAGGATTGTGGCTTTTGAAGCAGAATATGGAGCTAGTTTTGAGAGGGGAAGCAGGGCCAGCAAACTGCTGACGGCCACAATGTGACCCTGCTTCTGCTCCAGAAAGTATGGCAACACTGCTTGGGTCAGAGCAACGTGCGAAAAAACGTTCACTTCGAATTGGGATTTTTGAGCACTCATAGGCATCATGAGCGAACCCTGAGACATTCTCCCAGCATTGTTGACCAAAATGTCCAACTGAAAAAAAAATACTTGCTTTAAAACATTCTCTGAAAGTGGAAGAAACCTTCCCAATCCAACTTCCACTGGAATTGTAAGTACTGTATTGTGATAGGCGTACAAATTTCCTGAAATCTTGAATACTTGATGATTTCACTTCTTCACAAGGCACAAAATGTGAAATACCAAGTCATCAGAATTTTGCACCTACATTTGGCCTGCCTCTTTTGCCTGTTCAAAATAGAGTTCAGATAATAATCACACTTGCACATATACTGATAAAAATCATAGAACTCTGACAGCCTCTAATTGAATGAAGAAACAAGAGGTGAAGGTTGTGAAATTGCTGCACAACATTGGTATGCAGGATTAAAGTGTGATAATGAGACCCAACAACTACACTTTGGCCAAATATTGCAAATAACAAGACCTAGACAATACAGTAATGTACTAAATTATGCACAATTTGATGTAACAAGATTCTGTCTGCACAAGTGTAGTTTTTTAATCCTTTTGTGGCACAGTCAGGATAGTTTTGCAAAATGTTGTGCCCATCATGAGCCCTGAAAAGAATCACTTCTGAACCAAGGCCTAAGTTATGAGAAAGTCTAGTATTTTTTTATACTCTGTCAGAACATTTTGCCAAAAAAAACTTCACTGGGTGGCTCTTTTTCCTGCATTCTCAGCATGGAATAAAAATTGGGAATTTCTGAAGACAATGGGATTTTCTCTACCCAGATTATTTTCCACCTAGGCCTTCCAAATCTGGGGGCATTTCAGTGACCTGAAACTGAAATGTACCTGGGTCAAACTGAAATGCCCCTCTCCCAGGAAAAATCTTGAATCCACCATGGGGAGGAAATGAATCCATTGTATTCCAAGAGTTGACCAAAGTGCAGCAAAGTCAGGATATCTTTGAAAAAGTGTGTGCTCATGAGAACTGAAAATATAAAAAAAAAATTGTACTTCTGAACCAAGGCCAAAGTTTGGAAAAATGTTCATATTTTTCAATAATTCTGCAAAAATGTTTTTTTGAAAATTAAAAAATCCTCACTGGGTGGGGTTTTCTTCAGGAATTCCTATAGCATAGGTTCAGCATTTGAGATTTTTGAAATCATGAAGATCCACACTTCCTGGATTTTTCCCAAATTTGCATTTCCCAACCTGGGTGCATTTCATTGACCATTGGTCAAACAGAAATGCACCATTCCCTGAAAAATCCCAACTTACAGCACAGCCTTCTGGAACCCGCCACCATCTCAAGGTTAAGTAACTCATTTTTGCATTTACCTTGCCAAATTTATTGAGAATTTCTTTGAGCCATTTGTCATGGTGGCTGACATCTGTGATATCTCCAGGAAGCAGCAAGATGTCCCCTTCACTGACTCCGCCCTCTTGACAAAAATAATGCCCTGAACAACATTCAGTCTCAAAAAAAAAGAGCAGAAAAATACTCACTTTTCAGATGATCATCAAACTTTGTCAAGCTTTCCTCATCAATATCAGTCAGCACAAGTTTCACTCCCAGCGTTGCCCAATGTTGAGCAAGACTTTTGCCAATCCCACTCCCAGCCCCAGTAATCCAAGCAACTTTGCCCTTCAGGTTCCCTATACATCAAGGTTGAACCTCTTTGAGTCAAACTTCAAGGGATCACCATAAAATTTGAGTCATGGAGGTTTTGAGTTAGGGATATGAGCATATTTTAAGGCAACAAGCAAAGATATATTGGAAATAATTTAATTGCTTAATATTTTGGGCCTTATATTGCTTCTAAGTTGACAGAATGCTGAACTTGAAAACAAGGATTTAAATACCCAATTAATCTTTCAATGCCCTTCAAATTTATATTGTATACTTTACCTTTCTAAAAAGTTTTATTTCTATTTATATTTTTCCCTCCCTGTGCAAATGAAAAAATGGCCAAGAATATTTGAGAAATGAAAGTTTTAAATGCATTGTTTCTGAGGGGCTTGAGACATACACTAATAAATTGACCTTGAGATGCTAGATTTATGGTGGTTTATTCGTTTGTATATTCATTGAAGATCGCATATATAATTAATAATATATAATTATATTAATTTATTGGGGTATATTAGTGAAAATGGGAAGAAAAGGAAATTGAAAGAAAAGTATTCACCTCCCCGTGAGCCAACAATTTTGTAGCATAAGAGGATGAAATCTGCGTCTTGAAATAACCACCATATGAAAATCATTGCTGTGATCCACCACATCATTTTCACCAACACTTGAAGCTATCCTTCTGTAATAAAATTGCAGCAAGCCAGTGTGTTTGATGCGTGTTACACAATCACCAACAAACACATTGGAAAAACAGTTTGTGCAGATCTGATATGTGGAATTCCAAGAAATGGAAAAGAGCAGTGTAAGATAGGGTTATTATTGAAGTTTCTGTACATTTACCAGCTATTTAAAAATAAACTTAGCCATTCCATTACAGAGCTTCTTTTTCTATTTACCTTCTGTCCCACTCTCCCACATTTGACCAAATTTTTTCACTTGGTATGCTGCAAAATTCCATCATGTAAAGCAGTACTGTTTCCCCAACATTTTCAGGCCCATCACAGATTGGTACAATCCCATAAAACTGTTTGCAGCTCAGCAATTTTCAAAAAATATTTTTCTACAGACTGGAAACCTTTCATGAACTTTTTAATACTCAAAAATGTTTTGTTCAAACATTTAACAGAAGGCTCTTGAAAAGTTTGTTTTTTGTGCAAAAGTTAGGTTGAGAACCAATCACTCAGTTCTAGTGGAATGTCTTCAAAGAATTAGAAAAGTGGGCTTGAAGAAACGTTCCTCAGAATGCAAATTGAAAATAATTTAATTTCAGTGACTGAAAAATTTGTCTGAAGCATTAAGAAAAAATCCAACTTGTATTCATCATCAGATTATTTCAACTGCCATCATCTTTCGAAAATTTCAAGGTTAGGGAACACTGCGCTAAATGGTTTTGATTCACTCAAAAGCCGGTTGAAACAGTTGCCACACACAAACGAAAAATTGCAATCAAGAAAAAAAACGGCAAATAGGTTCGAATTTTCGAGTTCTTCGCCGAAGCGTGCGCATCTGGCGTCTCTGCCTATCTACCTATCTCCAGGGAAAGGCGCACCCACACCCACCAAATTTTTGCACATTAAAATAATACCAGGAAAGTACCAAAAGGAGCGCATCTTCAGGAAGTTTCCACTCTTTTCCTGCCATATTTATTTGCGCCACTGCGAATAGCCACAGTTGCCTTGAGCTTTTCCGAGGTCATTCTGTTATTTTTATTCACTGTGATTTCAAGTACTTGAGCGAACTGCAGCAAAAGCTAAATTTGCTTATTGTGCCAACGAATGGTTTTTCCGAAAAACAATTGTTTTCCGGCTCAATTTAATGCTTTTTCAATATATTGGACCGTACATCCCGAAAACTTTTTAAATATCTTGTACTCGAGTGACAATTTATTCTAACAGGAAGCCGTAATCATTATTCAAACGCTTATGCATGAACACTGCCCTTGCGGACAAATTTGACACAGAGGTACGGTTCTAATCTACCATAATTTTAAATTCTTCCGAAATGCACACGATATACAGTAGTGTTACGAGAGCAATTTGAATTCGAAGTACATTGAAAATAGATGTCGCTCGCTACTCCGACTGAACTGGTTTCCGCGATCACTGCTGGTGCAACAGTTGTATACATGTTTTACTTACCTACCCCAACTGTATCCTTTCGAAAGAATAATTCATTTTTGCAATTTGCTCATTTGAGTAATGTACATATCCGGAAGAATTTCATAAAACCGCCACAAAAACAACACCGCTTTTCACATTTTAGTGAGATCAGAATGAAACCGAGTTCACCGAAGTTCTCCGCGATCGTGAGTCACGTGATACTCGCATGAAAATGATCTGTGGATCATGACATAACGCACGCTTCGTATTTTTCTGCTTGGATATAAGATTCGAAAATCGATTGAACACCAAAACATTACATAACTTGGAAAAAGTCGCCTTATTTCAGAATAAAGCTCCCAGCAGTGCATGGAACATCCTTTCGAAACGCTTTCATGTCGTCGGGTGCTGAAGCAGGAACTAACTGATGCGTCTTTGAACATGCTTAAAATATCCTTGGTGGAATGAAGCCATAAAAGAGGTGAAGGAGAGGCGAGAAATCTGGTTTCCTCCAAGTTCATCATGCGTTAGTTTTTGTTTCATTTATAATTGAATTTGCGTCGTCCATCATACTGCGATGCATGAAATATCCCTCAGAACCTTTATATTCAAATTACTTCAGATCTGTACTTCTGTAGTATCTTATACAAACACGCGAATGACGGAATGGTTTACATGCAAGGCGGTTGTAACGATGTCCTTCAAAATAATCTTGAAATTAATATCCGTGAAATGTAATGGGATATGTAATTTGGATGAAGAGTTTGTTATACGTGGGGTGAGAAATTGTTTGATCCATCAGAAAAACTAAATTAAGATTTATGAGTGCATACAGTCAAACCCTCTTATTCAATTCGAAGTTGAGAGACCAGGGAAAAAAATTCTAAATTACGGAGGTTCCTTTCCAGTTGGGGAAACAAATATTTCCGCAGGGGTAGGAAAGAGGAAATACAGGAAATGGTGATTTGTGATCTTCTGAATAGGCCTTAAACTGGTTCTTCAATCTCAATGACTTATCAGCAGGATGCTGAACTTGAAGGCCAGGGTTCTTTTGTCCAATTGGTCTCTCACTTCCTTTCACAACACATTAAGGCACATTTAAATGCTTTTTTATTTCCTGTTTCAGTAAGATAATAGCTGAAATACCACCGGAAATTTAGAGTTATCGAAACGGGAGTTTAAGAAGGAAGGTCTCCAAGTAACCCCAGTTTTTAATGCATTGTTTCCAAGGGGATTCCAACAGGGACTCCAAAAAAATTTAGGGAGGTTTTGGTTATCAAGGTTCAACTGTGAATATTTGAAGACAAAAAATCCCGTAATTCCACCTAATACTGATGGAACCCAGCGAGAGACCATCAGAAGAGATTCGAAACGAGATAAAAAATAATTAATGGTGAAAAGACCTCCAACAGTAAATTCGTGGAACTATATTTTAAATTTGGAGTGGCTTGGGTGTTTTCACTGATCATTGCTGGGAATGCGGTACTTGAAAGTTGAAACTTGATATGCAGGTATCGTGATTTCACATAAGTAAGAGCGCGATTTTACGCAGAACCCACAACATATAATTCCTTCGATCAGTAAGGGAATTCAATTCATTAGTGATCAAATCCTAACACCAACTGTGCGCGGAAAGAACCCTATGAACACTTCCAGATTAGCGTCACCGTCCAAATCTTTCTGATCACCAGAGTAGCGAAGATGCCGAACTAAACGCTGAACACCCGTCAGGCGAACTGCTTTTACAAGCATCACCGGATAATGAATAATTACAAACGAAAAAAGGAAACCGCCTAATTCACTCGAGAAGTTCTTCGTCGCATATGATTATAACCATGTTCGTTGTACATGGTGTGACACAATTCCCCACATGTGAATAATGTACGTATGCATGCAATAAGTGTGTTTCGAGTACGTGTGTCTTTCGACTGACGGTTAAAATTCAACAAAAGCATGCAAAAGACTCGCCTCATCATCACTCACTATAATCAGGCCTGTTCATCGCGTATCATCGGCGTGTGTTCACTATATATAAGCGAAGCAGGCAACTAAACCATTACATGCGCCATTACAATCGTCATGACGAAAAAGATGATCAGTGATGATTGATGAAACGCGCAGGATAAGAAAACGACGGATGACAGAAACGTGAATAACAGTACGTTGTACAATGCCAAGCAAAATTAGAACATTACAAGTTCATTCGTACACAGAACACAGGAAGAACCCGCCGCCAATAGTTGAACTGTTGAAGTAATTGCTGCTGTCAGATGGATCCGACGTTACATCACTCAATAAACATACTGTAGGACTTCATCGCCGCCATGCGATCATCGCAAGCAGCAATAATTAAGGAGGTAATGCACTTTTACGGAAAAGGAATCCCGTATGATGTATTCACGATTATTACATGATATGTGCTTTGGTTTCCATAAAAACACATTCCGCAATTCAGATTTTCTGGTGAAATCGAGTTTCATGACGAAGATTCTTCGTTTGAGTCACTGCTGATTTTCAAGTGAGGTGAGCGAGAACGACGATTGATATTGAAACATGTCCGTATAGCAACGTTCACGGGTTCGAACTACATATCCGTGGTTTCGCGGTGAACAGCAAACCTCAGGTAAAATACGAACACGAGTTACTAAGTTTCGTAAGGGACGATGTTCCACATCTTCCTCCTTTCACTACTGAGCTCACAACAGCGTCACTGCTGAGAGTGCTGACTCGAAAGTCATCGCACGAGAGAAGGAGGCATTACAGTCGTACACAGCACCGTTGGGGCTTCACACCACTTCAATACCGTACAGCTAAGCTGCTCTTATCACAGACCATCATCACGTCCATCGCGGAATTGATATCTTTATCCTTCTTTCACGTCAATAGGCAAGAATTGCAATCGAGTACAAAAGTCAGTAAAATTTGGCACCGATTCCGTGCGAATATATAAACTCCCGTATACATAGAGAACAATGTGCATTGGGAGTTTGAGAACTGAGTTTTTATTGACGCGGGATTTCTTGCTCGAGCTCAGAACAGTACATGGGGAAAAGGAGGGGCCTTCAGAGCACTTCATGAGCGCGCATTTCTCGTTTTCGGTCCGTGTTGCAACTACCGTAAATATATCTTCATATGACGCTGAGTCGAATGTCATGGGTTTTGAGCTTCAACAAAGATCCTGATGGGTCCAGAAGAAGTACATTGGTGGTCTTGGAGCCTTTTATGGTGAACAAATTTTGACTTTTTTGAGCATCACCTGTTTGGCGGAAAAGCAAATGATTTTCAGCTGCAGCAGATCATAAATCAGAAGACCACAAGGAACTACTCAAGAGCCACGCCCATAAATATTTCTGTATCTAAATTACACAAATTGGTAACATATAAGGGAAAAAGGAAACAACTTCACTCACTGCTGGCTTTCAGTTCAGAACATGCACCCGCTTTTGTTCTGCCATCTGCAGAATTAGAACCAGCTTTGTTACTTCTTCTCCTTTTAATCCTATTAATATTCCTAGCAATTATGATGACTGAAGCCACATTCTGAGAATTCAATAATTTTGTGGTTGAAAAATTGTCGCCTCTGTCGAATTTCAGCTCACTGGGGACATTTTGAGCACTTGTAAACGAAGTGGCCAAAGTTGACATAGGCTTTTCCTGGTAAATGTCACATTCAAAATCGTTTGAACCATTGCAGTTTTTCCTGGATTCTGATAATATCTCTGGGATTGGTGAGTGGTGCTTCTCATCAGTAGGTTCATCAAGGGGCTGCAATGCTTGGGTTCCATGATCCAGTTCAGAGATTGACTCCAAATGAGTTATTGGCAATAGTTCCACAAAAGCAGTTTTTTTGCCACTTGGGGGAGTTTCATTTGAAAATTGATCACAGGACAATTGGGCAACTGTGCTCACAGGTTCAGGTTCAGCAGGAGTGAGGTCATGCTGGGAGAAATTCTCCACAGACATTTGAGCTGATGACACTGTACTGTTCCAGCAAGAGAACTTTTTGTAAACCACTTTAACATCATCTTCACTTGGATCCAGTGTCTTTGGTGTAAAAAGCACATTTGGCTTTTCTTCAGTGAGACAGAGTCCAACTGTAGAAATTTTGCATTCCTCATCTTGGCACAGCTTCTGATCTGAACCTGAGACAACTGATGCCTCTTTGGCTGGGATCTCATGATCATCTGGGTCTGGAACAACATGTGGGGATGCTGGAGCAGCAGATCTAAGAAAAAAATAAAATTGCAACAAATAATGAACTTAATATAACTTGGTAAGTGCTTCATGCATGTAAAAATGTTTGCCTTTTGTCATGACTGTCCCTGTGCTCCAAAGACTCATCTTGACTTTCAATTGGATTCTCTGGTTGGTAAGAGATACCATGTATATACGCTTCACCAGGCCCTTGATTTGTATGCAGTTTATGAAAAATAACCTTCTCTTGCTGTTGAATTAAATTCAAGAAGTGCTGCTGCCGGAGCAGCAAGTTTCTGTTTTGCTCCTCCAGCAATTCCTTTTCAGCAGCAGCTTGTTTCAGTCTCTCATTCTCCTGGGCCACTTTTTCAATCTTTGATTGCAATTCAAGAGAGGTCAACAAAGCTCTGAATTCCATTGAATCATGTATTCCAAGGAGAGAATAGGGTCTTTCATGGACAACATCATTGGGTCTGTGTAGGTCTTTTTCAGTCCTATTGTCAAAGTGGACATGTTTCTGATGATGAGCATTCCCAAGAGGGGTGTGCTGACTCCTGCTGTGTCTTAATACACCTGGAAAACATTGGCCTACTTGAGAATCACTCTCATGATGAGGACCCCTCTTGAACATTCCAGGGGACCTCTGTGTTGCTGACCCTGCACCCAGTCTCTCTTTGGGAGCATGTAAACTCTGGCTGGACAAGCAGTGTGTAGTGTTCTCATGAGGTTCAAGGTCAAGGTCTGACATGAGCTCTGTGGCATCTCTGAGTGTGAAATTGGACTCCTGGGATCCACATCTAGCCAAAGGGCTGATAGCGTTGCAGTGTGGAGACCAAATCTTGACACAGCTTGATTGCCTTTTGAGGAAAAGTTGAGTAGAAAATGGCTGCAGGGAATTCTGTTGGATCCTTGATGGGGACAATCTCCCAAAAGGGCTACATGAAACCTCATGTTCAACTGCTGGAGGTGTGCATGATGGTGAGATTTCAGACTCTAACTTGGTTATTGTGATCTCTTTAGACAGACCTCTTGCAAGAGTGAGCCTTTCTTCACTTTCTTCTAGATCTTCAAAGTGAGACTTTCCAAGTGATTCATAAGAAATTGTAACAACAGGAGCCCCTTCTAGTATCTCCTCAGGGTTTCTGAGTGTGAAAGTAGCTTTACTGTCATTTTCTGAAGATTCCTGAACAGACTTCTCTTCATCTGTATTGATCTCATTGAAGTCTTGAACTTTGCAGAATTTAGTCTCAGGTCCAGGAACTTTGATTTTGGCAATAATGTCTTCCAATGTTTTCAGTTCTTTTGTTGGGTTCCATGATGAGCTGACTTTGAATGACAGTTGGCAATCTTCATCTTCAGAGAAAAGGTGGTTTGATTTTTCTGTACTCATATCTTTGGGGTGTATGGAGTTCATGAAAATCCTCCTGTGAGATATTTCTGAAATCTGAATGGAACAATGATGATGATGATAATGCTTGTGCAATCATTTCATTTGAGCAATTCAACCCAAATCTGTTGGTGGGCCAGGGTCAAATTGTGAAGAAGTTGAATTGCAAGACAACCTCAAATGCAATTTTCTTAATTTAAAATATGATATTTTGTGTTTCTATGAGGTCAAATTGTGAGGCAGAGGTGAAATTGCAAGTCAACCCCCCAGTTGCTGATTCTGTATGTGATTATCATTGTCCATTATAATTATTTTTCTTGTGAATTGCAGTGTAACTTCAACAATTTTTGGCAAGTATGCATAAGTCTCTGATGTGAACTCACTCTACACTCCTCACCACCTGAGAGCCTGATGCTGCTGTTGCTCCCAGGAGAAACATATCCCAGGTTCTGGAGCTCAGACTCTTTCATCAAAGTTCCCTGACCTTGCCCCAGTTCTTCAAGTATGCTCAGAGCATTTTGCAGGTGATCCCCTGTTGATTTCCCCACAGAACTGAGGGCTTCTCCTGTGGGTTCCAGCATCTTCAGGACATGTGACATGAATTAATTTGATTGAATAATGTCCCTGTCAAGAAGATCAATAGTTCTTCTGAAGGAAACAGATGCAAATGAGCTCAGCTGAGAGATTTTGCACAGGTTTGCCCAACTTGAATCACTATAAATAATGCGATCATTCACATCCTAATATACCCAAGGGGGAAACTGCACTATTCCAATGCTTAAGTATATTAGCTAAGTGTGCTCAAACTTAGGGTTATTCCTGATAAATTATTCATGTGAAATATCAGTTATCACCCTGATTATCATCTTATGATTATGCTTAAACTCTTACATCAAGGGAACATGGAGGTAACTCAATCCAAGGAGATCTTACCTGAACCACAAGATGTCGCAATTATACCTGCTAATGAAAATCTGTTCAATGTTGAACAGGAAATCAAAAAGATGAGAATATTGGTAAATAAGGATTTTCTTGAGGACACCAAGTTGCCACTGGGGGAAAAGTTAATGGAGTTGGAGCATCAGTTCAGCAATGGACATTTTGAACCTTTGCTATCATTTGAAGAGCAAGCATCAGTAAGCATATTTAATATCTTTCAAATGTTTTCAGAGAATTCAGTTTAGCTATAGTTGCTTCAAGAGGTTTTCAATTTGGATTCCTTAAAGGTTTTCAAAAATGTTAATGGCTGGTTTAATGTGTTGAAGGTATCAAGCTACTTTGATGAGATGAATGATGGAAGGAAAGTCAAAGCCTTCAGGATTGATCTTCCAACTGAATCTGAAAACACTGCTGGCAGGATTCTGCGTTGCAATACTTGCATCAGTTCACAGATGGAGGCTGAAAAGGCATTTGAGGAAACCCTCAGAACTGTATTAATGTATGACATGTCTAAAAGAAACCTTTGCAAGGTTTGTAAATTTATTACTTGTATTTTGAAGGACTGACAATTTGAGAGAGAAGTCTACTGTGAGGAACTCAAAATGTTTGAAAAAGTATGGTGGCTCCATCTTGTGCTGGGCAAAGCAGGAATACACTCACTGCATAAGCAGCAATTACTTACAGCAAGCTACCATGAGTTGCACTGATCAATATCAGCATTTATTGAACTCAAATGTTCTTGAAAATCCTGAAAATTTGGCACAAAAGTAAGAAACACAGATTTTAAAATCTGGTAATCTGATTAATGTGCCATAAATTTGAAGTTTCACAGATGGTCTGGGAAGAGAAGTCAAGAGAGCAATTCGAAAATCCTCAAATTCTCAATGGGTAACCACATCTACATTTGACCCAGCTAACAGCCAATCTATTCTCTCAAACAAGCAACTAGATGTCACTGTGCATCCAGAATTTACAGAGTACAAGCATCACAAAGTGGTTAAAATCACTGGTCATAAAGGTGAAAATGTGGTGACAAACATCCACATTCTACTGCTGCATTTCTTGGTGCCCAAGAGTGAGGAACTACAAGAAAACTGGTTTGCAAATGTGAAACTGAAAGTTGGGGATATCAATGAGGTGTTCAGAATAGCCAAGAACTCTTTGGACTGCTTGAGTGGGTCAAGTGACAAGATTGAGTATGAGAGTGAGGATTATTTTGATGGTGAGCAGTCAAAATCATCAGAATGACATAAAACAGTGATGATGATATCTGGAACCTGTTTGAATAAATACTTACCGTTTACCACCTTAATTGGAACCACATTTTCAATACAGTTGAAATTTTGGATTCAAATGCTTGAAAATGAGAGAAAAGTGTTTTCTTAGTTGGAACAGGCAGGGCCTATTTATCAATGAATGAATGATTAGAACACTTTATTTGCCGCTTTTCAGCGTTCACAAGGCACAACCAAGACTCCTGCATCCAAACTCCCTATTTATCAAATGTTTATTATTATTGTCCATCAAATTATGGTGAAAACGTTTCCCAAGCTTAGAACATGAGGTTTAATTTTGGACTGGAAGTAAGCCATTTGTATTTGACGTTTGTTCAACTTCAAGAATTGGGGACAGAGATTAGACTGGAAACAACTGAATGTAAACATTTGACCCACAACATACATTATTTCTAAAATGTTGCAGCAGGTTTGAAAACAGAGGCTGAGGAGGGCTTAACCGATGGATCCCAAGAAGCAATCACCAGAGGCATTGGAGGAGTAGATTGCAGGAAGAAGCCCGAACCAAAAGCACCAAAGCCAAAACCTTGTCCACCTTGTCCAAAGCCCATCCCCCCACCCCCACCTCCAGAGCCTGACTGTCCAATGTCCTGCAAGGACAAGGCCCTGTTGGATTCCTTGGCATGTCCCAAGCCCCCAACCTGTGAAGAAATTGTCAAGGTTGACAGGAAAAATAAAGTGGCTGCCTTGAGGGCTGCCTGGGGAGAAAAGGTGCTGGAATTGAATGTGAAGCACCTGTTTCTCTCAATGCCATCCTTTAAGCCTCTGGGAGCTGTGCATGGACAACTTGCACAGGCTAAACTTGCTGCTATGGCCATCAGATACACTTACCAGGTCAATCAGCTGGAAGAACTCATGAGACCCAATACTTGCTGTAAAATACAACAAGTTGGCTTCAGGAACTGACTTTGAAATCAAATCCCCCAGCTGGACTTGCTTACAATTTCCTTGCAGAAGCATATGCTCTGCTTTTTTTCTCCTCCCTGATGTTTTGTCTTTATTCTGTGTGTGATATCATTGTCCATTATAATTCTTCTCCTTGTGAATCAACAGGCAATTTGAAAATAAAAGTTGACTGGGATAAAAGCTCTATGAGGCCTCTCTCATTTTTATTTGCCCTCAACCTATGTAAGGTTCAACAATTTCATGTCAAATGGGATTAATTTAATCCATGTTTATAGAATGAATTGGCTTCCATTGGTTAATCCACTGAAAATTTCTGAAGATGGAGGTGGAGTGGATGAAGCAATTGATCCTGATTGGGGTGATCACATTAGTGAATGCCACTCCAGTCAGAGAGCAAATTGGCTCCCTGCAGAAGGATTTGGTGCCAACTTGTACAAGACCCCCTTCACTAGAGAATGCTTTCCTTAGCCTACCCAATGTTGGAAAGGGATCTGAACAGGACCTCAGTGTAAGGGTTTTCAAATTCTGACCTGCCTACAAGCCCAAATGCTCATTTTATGGTGTTTGTTCAGTCTAGATTGTTTGGTGTTGGTGAGACAGCATTTTATCACTGTTTGCCAGGATACTTTGCTGGGAAGGAATCTAGAGTGAGACTCAAGGCCAAGTGTGAGGAAGCCAAGGATGGCACTCCATACTGGAATGTCAAAGGATCTTGTTCTAGAAATGGTGACTAAGCATATCCATTTTATGTAAAGAATTCTCTGGAGAGACAAGTCTAACCAAAAATTTTCCATCAGCAATGGTGTTTAAAAAATCCAGGCAAAAATTTAAATTTAGAAACGGGTATTGTTGGAGATAACTATTTCATCATACCTTCATCCAGGATTCTGTATTTAATAAACCCACATTACTACAGTATTTACATTTCAACTCATACCAAACTTGAAACCTGATACCATCTGATATCAGCCAACCACACTTGAAAATGAATTCAGTAGAAAACCTGAATCAATGTAAAACATAATCTAACTTGAAATATCCCAAACAAATGAATCATCTCCAGGCTTGGTATTTGAATGCTAGAAGTTTTATGCATCTCTTGGGATTACATTGACTTATGATTTCCACACTATGCATGAAATTTGGTTTGCTTTTTCATATATAGTGAGATGCAATGAGCCACCTGTGTTGCCAAATGCTGACATAGCAGTTCGCTTTGCATTGAAACAAGAGTTCAACCCAGGGGAGAAGATTGAGTATCAGTGTAAAGATGGCTATGTGAGTACCATAGGCTCAACATCACCTTACACCAAGTGCAAGACTGTGGGGAACAGAGTGGAGTGGCTACCATTTGTAGGATTTTGTTCCAAACGTATGTTACATTCAAGCACTGGAAAAATCCAGGCATAAATATACATGCTTTTTCAACAGCTGGCCCAGGGATTGTTCAGATGTTTGACAAAAGTGAAAACCAGGGACGTACACTGCTTCAGCAATCCACAGGTGATATCATGAACATCCTTTCATCTGTTAGATTTTCAGACTGAGTTTTTCTGCTTCTGAAGAAAGTGATACTGGGTTGGATGATATGATACATCATTTTGAGGCTGACCATCCTGAGTACTTGAAAGGAATTGACTACCAGGAATTGCATGATGGTGTCCACGGTTTCAGCTTGGGTTGGTAACCCTGTATTTTGATGGAAATTCCATATTTTGACCAAATTTGTGTCTGAAGTTGATTGCCTTAGAGATGGAAAGTGTGAGAGTGAGAAGAAGCCAACAGTGACCAGAGCTATGGGAAAATTGAAAATTGCCAAGAAGTTCCATAATCCATTCCACCAGTTTGGGATGGTTGAAGCTCACAAGCAACACCAGCCAGAGAGTATTTATCCATTATTGCAATGATGAATGTGTTACAAAATACCTCACCTTTACAGACTATCCAACAAATTTGTTGTATGAGCTGCCTGAGCCAAGTTTGAGTTTGGCAGGCTCAAGGTGGATCAGACATCACCCCAGACTTCCTCCTCCCAACTGTGATGGTCCCAATTGTGATTCCCTGGAAGGTTCACTGCATTTTAATACTGGTACAGTATTTACTTGAGTACCACGTGCACCTTTTTTCTCAAATCTCAGAAGAAAAAAAGGGGTGCGCGTCATAAGCGGGTAAAATTTTTTAAAGAAGTTTTAGGAAGTTATAAGTGCATTATACTTAATTATAATGTTAAAATTTCAAACAAATGTAATGAGAAAACTTTTTTTGTACTGAAAAAGTTGAAAATTGATCCAATTTTTGTTTAATTCATGTCTAAAGTAGAATTTTTTGAATTTATTTTTGAAATTTTGTGGTTTTAGATTCACTAAAAATTGGGGTGCGCGTCTTACTCAGGTACAAGATTTTAGCCAAATTTCCAACTAAAAAACCCCGGCGCGCGCCTTGATTGAGGGTGCATGGTACTCAAGTAAATATCGTATATCAATTTTTTATTTGAGAAATAGCAACTCTGAATTTTCAGGTCCAATTGCATTCTCAGCTTCAGTTCCAGACTCAGAGACAAGGCACCCAGATTCCACGGAGGATGTCTTCAGGTCTTCTCCTTCTATCTTCAATTCAGACATAGATGTCATCTGTCTGGACAAGTCCTGCAAGAAAAGTTTGTCAAAATTGGCATTAACTGCCTAGTGAATATCTGAAATGCTCCCTTCTTTGCAGAAAAAATTAAAGAAGTGGATAATGAGAAAAAGATTGTTCATATCCCTCCAAAGCCATTTTCTGAGAAACCAGTGACTCAGAGATGGGAATCTGCTCCACCACCTGGGCTCAATCAGGAGGCTCTGTGCACAGGGGCTGACTGTCCCAAAAAAGGTGCTTAATTTTATCATAGAATGTTGAATTTATTATTTCAAACCACTCAATGTATATATTGAAGGCAATGTTGAAGAACAAGAGGTCCCAACAGTGTCCAAACCCTATCCAGCAGAGCCTTTGTCTCCACAATGGAGCCCTCAAGTCAAAGGTGAATTTCCTGAGATGTACAAACCTGTACCTCAACCACCAGGACCACCATGCAGAGATAGGAACTGTGGATGTGAGCACTTGACATCTCATAAGTCATAATATAGAGAAGACTTTGAATTTTGGCTGCCCATTTTTAGTCACAATGGAAGGTGAACCACAAGGCATGTTCAATGCTGAGTTTGAAGAATTTCAGGCATCAGAGGGTCTTGCTGAGACTGAGGAAAAAGAAGCTAGTTGGATAGATTGTCTCATGAGCTTCAAAGTGTACTTGAAATACTTTGCACTGGTCTTCTTGGTTGGCGCCATCATATACTCCATCTTACATTGTTGGCTTTGCTCTGCTGCGTAAGTCCACACCAAATACTCTCATTCATGAATGAAAAAAAAATTTAATGTATGAAACCTTTGTGATGAAGCTTTAAGTAAATCAAAGATTTTGATTGAGTCCACGTCCTCCACACAGCGGCTTATTGACACCAAGCTGAAACACGCACAATTTTTCTTCAACCAGATACTTCATATTAAGCTAGCAATGTACAATACAGTGACAACCCAAAATATGGACACCTTGGCATATGGAAAATTCGGCTTGGGAAGACTTAAAACAGTTATAATTTGCCCCAACATCTGGACAGTGACTCAAGATATGGACATTTTTCCAATATTTCTGGAAGAAATTGAACAATTCCGTTTTCTAAATTTTTTTGTGATGAACAAATTGAGCTATTTGTATTTAAAAATCCAAAAAAAAATTTCATTAGACTTTTTTAAATTGATAATGGAAGAAGGCAAGCTAATTTTTTGCTTTTTTCAGTTTTTTTCATCTTGTTTGCTCAGTATAGCAAGACTTGTTCTTGAAATCTTTCTGATGCCAAAGGGCCAGATTCTGTGTGGTTTTGTCTGTGGATTTAATTTCTGCATCTTCAAGTTTAGAAAAAGAGGATTTTATTCAATCTTTGAAAGAATTTTCAATTCTTCAACTGCAGGAGAACCAATGAAAAGTATTTTGATTGAAGTCCATAGAATAACAAGGTCTGACATACAGTACTGATATTCCAATTAAAGGCCAAGGTGTATGCACCAATTTTTTCCACCTCTTTGGACACACTGAAGTTGATTTTTCAATTGTTAAAATAGCAGAAAAATATAAAATAATCTGGGAAAGTGTGCAATAGTATCAATAGGTTTAAACTTTGCATCATGTGCAAATCCAATTGGGTTTAGAAATTTGCAGGAAGTTGCAGGCATTACACTTCATGAATTTATGGTAGAATATGAATATGAAGCAGACTAACATTACAGTACATGCATTTCAGAGAGGAGGGATCATTAGACCAAGATGGGGCTCCAAGTTGCTGGGAAACTCTCATTGGAGAAAAATCTTGTGCTGCAAATGCTGTGGATGACAGGCCATCAGATTGTCCAACAGCCTGTGATTGAAGTGAAGACACATAATACTTGAATTTGAAATTGCATGCTTATTCTTTGTTTTTATGTTATTTTATTCCCAGAAAACTTTTATCCTCCTGTAGAATAAAATCTGCAAGTCATTGAGCTCAGTTTTTTTTGCTTAGCATCACGATGAATCTCCATTCTAAAAAAAATGCATGCAATTGCTTTGGATGGCCATGTGATTACATTCTGGTGTTTGAGGTTATGCAAACCAGTGAACATACCATCCAGTGAAAATTCTTCCAACTGTGAATCTTTAATATGCAGCAAATCAATTTGCATGTTTGAGAGGACCCAAGATCAAAATGAATTACTTCCTGGTGAAAAACTCGGTGAAGAGGGAAAAGGCCAGCTTGCTTTTGAGAAATGTTTTCTTCATTAGGAAAAAGCCAAAGCCCACTGCTCACATTCTGCTTGCAATCCTTTCTATCATTATCCTCTACAAGCTTCATTACTTCATCATCTACTGGCCTGAGATGCGATTCAAAATGAATCAAAGTGTAGTGAAGCCTTCCTGCCTACAATCAAGGACACAACATTTTGATTGGGAAAACATTCTGGATTGGCAATCTGTTCAGAAATATGTTGGACATAACGTTGTTGCCATGGAACAAATCATTCATCCTGGCTTGGACACTTGGGAAGTCAAAGAGCATGTTGTACCCATCAACATCAACCAACAAATGGTGTCTGGTTTTGGTTAGTTCAGTATATTTACAAATTTAGAAGTTGAGAGTCTGCTGGTAGCAGTATGAGGTAAACATTTGTGTTTAAAATGAATGGTGATTCAAGCCTGACCAATATTTTTGGGAATACAGCAGCTATTAGACCTCAATTAGATCTTCAGAGATATAAAGAATTCAAGGTGTAACTTGAGTCCTTATATATTTGTATCTGATACTTTACCATAGTATTGTATTTTTAATTCGAGTCTGAGAACTTTGTCCAATGTGGAGATTTCTTATCCTAATTGCTGGGTTTGTACAGTGAAGACTCTGTGGGGTTGCATCCACATAGCGTGACCCAAGTGCAGCATCCTCGCTTAGGCACACCATGCACAACTTGCAGCCCAGGGACCCAGAAGCAGATAGGAACCCGGTTTGCCACATTGCGGTAAACCGGGTAATTAACTGATAATGTAATTAACTGATAACTACCTGTGGCCTGTATTAAAGTGTGCTGATTCTAAGGGACTCCCATATGGAGGATCCGGTCGTTGAAGGCTGCGTGACTGTGTTCCTTCAATTTCCTAATTCTTTGTTGTAATTGGCCCAACAGACTCCTCAAAGTTTCTTTAAAAGAATGCAAGTGTATTTCTTGTTTTCCACAAATATGAATGAAAATAACTTAGTTCCAATGTAAGTTCCTCCAGCAATGAACAGAGAGCAATGAGTGGTCATGCATAGAAAGGCAGGTGGATTTATAGACTTTGAGGTCCAAGATTGGGCAAGAATATGGTCAGACCCAGATCTGACCTCATTCTGAGGATATTGTATAACTTGGTGCATCAAGTTGTCATGAGGTTGAGAAAGTAGGGAAGCCAATAACTGCCTTTAGCATTGGCTGCTAGCAAGAAGGAATGACATAATCATATTTGGTGACAAATCTCTCTTAAATCAGGCAGTGAGAATGTTCTTGCAGTACATATTGTTTTTTGAAGTGATTTTTATTGAAATTCAATCAAAGAAGTTTGATTTGTCATCAGTGCATTGTCTTATCTTATTGTATAACTTGTGAATCATTTTGATTGATAATGCTGCAGTGAATGCCTTTAATTTTTTAAAATTACAAAATATTTGAAGTGCACTTCTTACCAGCAGAAAAGTACCATTTTAAGTTGCCCAGTCACCTGTTTACCATATATTGTGAAGAATGTACCATATTTTTTGTGTTAAAAATTTATGAAAGAATAATGCACCTGTTCTTTTTGCATGAAGTGTTCCAAGTTAAATAGAAGAAGGTCAGATATATCTGGTCCTGTGCAGTCTCATTGAGCTGGATTAATCATTGAACAGATTATTAGTCTTCAATCTCCATGCCTAGTTGCCCTAAGAAACTGCAATAATGACAATCTAGGTTTTTCTTCTTTATATCATATTTGAAACCATTGTATGGAACACTGGTGATCATTTCGATTTTTTTTCATACTTCAGCAAAATTTCTGAACTACTCCACACTTTGAACCACAAAATCTTCTTGGATCTTCATTCTTTTGAGGATAAATTGATGGATTTATAGTGTTCAATTTTGAGTTAATTTCCAACATGTCTTAGAAATGATCTGGTGAATAATCTGTTTCATTACCCAGGGAGAGATTTATCCTGCAGACAGCCTGTTGAGAACAGTACCAAGCTCCACATCCTCATCATAGTCATGTCTGCAGCAAAAAATTTTGCCCACAGAGACAGGATCAGGCAAACATGGGGAAAAGTTGCTAAACAAAACTCTGAGGTTTTCACAGTGGCTTTCTTGGTGGCAGTACCAAGGTCCAGGGACCAACAAGCCCTCTTGATAGAAGAGCAAAACACCAATGGAGACCTGGTACAGAGTCCAGTAGAAGAACTGAAGTTCAACATTGCCTTCAAAGACCTCATGTCAATATTGTGGATGATCAAGAGATGTCAAATTGCTACCCATGTCTTGAAAACTGATGATGACTTGTATGTGAACATTAGGAGCCTCTTCAAATTTGCAAAGGAGCATGAAAAGGAAATTGCGATGTTTGGCTACAGAAAAACTCTAAAATGCTTTTACACTTCAGCTGAGAATTATGACATGCGAAATTCATCCAAATTGCCTGGGGATTATAAGACTGAACTGTCTTATCCATTCCCCCAGCTTCCCACATATTTGGTTCAGTCTTACTTCTATCCGGCCAAATTATTGCCCAAGTTGGCTGAAGCTGCATACAAGGTCCCTGCTTGGGCTATGCAGTCAGACAGGTGTGTTGAATGACATTTAGTTGACCCCAGAATGACTTACTATCTGTGAGTTGGGGTGGTCTTTTTTTTTTCTTAAAAGCCAAGACATGAGCAGCAAAATTGCTTTACTAAGATTTCTCAAGGTTTGATTTCACCAGTAACTTCAGAAGAATATGTGATCAGCCTAACTTTGTCAAATTTCAGGCCAATGTTTTGTACTGTGCATTCTTATAATTATTTTACAAATTAGCAAAGCAAGATGAATTTATCCTGCATGCTCCAATATATACTCTCACTTTTTATTTGAACATGCAAGCTTGATTTCAGGCTGCTGATGAAGGATACATCTTCAGAAGAAATACTTTAAGATGTGATGTCAATGCAAGTACAGTACAATGTTTTGCAAAACTATTTGGAATATTTTCAAGTACAACTGTACAAGTGAGCAGTTATTCAAGACTGGCTGTTGTTATAGAAACTCAGAATAGTGAGATACTACCAGTAATTTTTTGGGTATCTGTCAAATTAGAGTCATGGACAATTAAATCTAATCTGAAATTGACTGTGGATTAGCAGGGTGAAAATCCTCCTTCACTTTGAACTTCAAAAATTGGCATTTGGTCAGAAAAGAAAAGAAATGTTTCTGGTCAGATGAGTCTAGAAATGTATGCTAGTCCATTGTATGTACAAATACATTCTTGCAGCTGATCACAAAACAAAGCTGCCCTGATTAGAATTACTGGTCAATCAGATGACAGATGTCAAATTTTTACATTGCTCTCTGCTGTTATTGATTCCATTGGTTATTCCCTATTTGTATTCAAAGTTAGCAAGGAAGCAAACATCAACAAATCTTCCAGATTATCATAATTTGAAGTATGTTACCTTCTTGATTAGAAGAAATCATGTGAAAATTTTGATTCTTATTTGAAAAACCCTTTTGTACTGTTAAATATCTGATACTCAAAAAATCTTCTCTGTTCAACAGATACATCACTGGGATCCTGGCAGAGTTTGCAGGCATCAAAAGAGTTGATCATCCCAAATTCAGGGTTTCATTCATAGAATCTATTTTGAGCAGGTCTCTTCTGCCAAAGTATTGGATGAAAAAGAAGTACAAGGACGCCATAATTGTTTCTCATGTGCTTGCTCCCAAGTGTCACTTGTCAGGAAATGAGTTGGTTTACTTACATAAGCTCTTCAATTGAGATGGTCTACATTTTGTCCTTTGTGATGGTCTTGAGGCATGGATGATAAATATACCTTTTCATTGATTGTTAAAAGAAGAAAAGACTGATGGTTCTCCTACTTTTTATGTGGAATAACACAATCATATAATGTCATCCTGGAGTTAATGCCAATAAGAATAAAGGTGAATGATGTTAGGCATTAAAACTGGATTGTAAGAACATTTAATTCTTATACTTTAGATTTTTCTTGCCTACAATATGTCTACAATTTAGCAGCCCTTTGACCACTGCAGGATGCAATTGTGCAAACCGCAGTCACTCACTTGCTACTTCCCCAATCACCAAAATGCAGTTCTATCATGTCCCAGTATAGCAGCAACTGGAATAGCAATGAGTTGCACTCCAACAACCTGCACTCTGCAACAACTGGGATATCAACAACTTGGACAGTGCAACAAGTTGTTCACTTTTCTTCCTTTTCTTAAAAAAATTTTCACATTCTGTGATTCAAAAGGAAAAAAATACTCTTGAATGAATGGTGGAAATTTGTTCTGAGCGAAACATGATTTATTCAAAATTTCAGTCACTGTAAATAATGAGGAACTGGAATAACATACAGCTGAGAGACAATAAAATTCACAAGCCAAATTTATAACTCAAGTGGCAAAAAATGTTTACTGATCATAACCCCCTCACTGTATTTTTGAATTAAACCCTTTATTTCATCATTAACTGTGAGTGTCTTCTATGACATTTCTGCTTCAGGCTTTCTGAAATTAAAAAGATGAGTCTTTTGAAAGTCAATACTTTGGCACCACTTTCTTGTGAATTGAAACAGAAGGGCTCCCTGACTGTGCATCTAGGGGGTTAGCATACAATCAAACTTCCTCTAGGCTAGGACCAATCTGTTGAGAATGAATGGACAAAATTATATGCAAAAAAAACAGTGTCAAAAATAAAAGTAAGGGGTGTTAAGAAACAGCAGATTTGCAGAGTTTAGCCAAAGTTGCTAATCCTCAAGGAATCTTGTGGGACCAGAGTTGACCTTGAGTTCCCACAATCTTCCTCCCAAAATTTGTTTGGCCTTTCTAAAAAATCTGTTTCTGATAAATCCTTGAGCGCCAAGGACAGTTTTCTCTGCATGCTTCTATCCATTGATATAATCTTCTGGTTTGCCAACAAACGGAATGATATTCATTCAAGTCTTGATTGTCAAAGAGTTCAGATCTTGCAAAATTCCAGTTTTCTTGTCATATTCTGAACCAAATTGAAGTCTATTTCTCTCAGCACTTCTTTGAACTTGTGAGTTTTTATCTTGTTTCCCAAAAAGAAGAAAATACAACACTTCATACCAGGACTTTTTAGTCCAGGCCGCAGCCCAGCTGATTGAGCAGTTTTATTTTCTGTTTTCATCATCTGTGTCCAAGCCTGATTTCATCTGATTTCTACATTGAGATCTCTTCCAGTTTATCAGTCTAAATTTCAATCAAAAGGAACTCTGATTTCCTTTCTTGTCTAGAATATATTTCTGACGAACAGTAAAAGAAAAGTGTGCAAGTTGTTGCACTGTGTGAGTTGTTGCTATTCCAGTTGTCGCAGGGAGCAAGTTGTGCGCAACTTGTTGCTATTCCAGTTGTTGCTATACTGTATACAAGTTCATGGGGAATCCTCAACACCCAACCCTGTTCAATAGTCCCATCAATCTTGTCAAAGTGCACCAAGCAAGAGTTTCATGTGTTCACTCCTTATCATTTTTCCAAAAGTTTTCATTTGAATTTGTCCCTGTCTCAAAAAGTTTCTGTCTCAAATTGGCCCTGTCCCCTCCAATTGTAATTCTCAATTTGTATTAGTTCCCTTTCAAATATCTTGCAAGAAAACTAAACATTTTAGATGTTGGTACTTAGGTGGCATATTGCAACATAGGTTGAACAGGATTTGAAACATACACGTTTCAAGCTCAGCTGATCTGAGAAATCTTGGGAAAATGATCTATGAGCTTTCATCTTGAGAGAATGACAGATAGAGAATGAGAGGAAGACATAATGAGAGAGGGATGTTGGATGTTGATGAGAGAGAGAGAGTTAGCTAATGAAAAAGAAAGAGATGGTCCTTAGCAACATGACTACTGGGAGTTTGGTTTTGCAAACCACAAAAGCAAATTTGTTTTCTCCTGTAACTGCAGGAATTATCAATATTCTTGATGGAACCATAGAAAACTTGCAAAACTTCTTGGTGCTTCTATCAACATAAGCAATTTGAAGCTTGCCTAAAATAAGAATTTGTATGTCATTTCAAAGTTGAAAATGGAATTTCACTCATATGGGTATCATATAATTCTTTCAAGGCAAGTGTGAAACCACTGAATACATCCATGTACCAACTAAAATAACTGAATCAAATAAATAAATTTAATAGTATTAAATTGCACAGAATACCGAGGAATCGCCAGTGTAAACATATAAAGCATTTTCATATTGTTTCAACCTCAAGAATATGCTGTGTAGTTTTACTTCTTCCAGGGGGAAATAAATGGCAAAGTCACGGAAACCATATTTTTTTCCTCAGCATCATGGTGACTCTGCATTGTTAATTTTTTTTTTATGAAACTGCTTTGGCAGGACACCTGAGGACATTCAGGTTTTTTGGAGCCATGCGAACCAGTGAGCATACCATCTAGTACGTGTGAATTCCATAATGTGTGGACTATAATGTCTTTTTTTTTCAGGGTGGAAGATCCCAGCCAAGATGAACAACTTCCTTTTGAAGCACAAGGGGAAGATTGACAAAGTCACTTTGATTTTGAAAAATGTGTTCTTCAAGAGAGGGAGACCAAGGCCCATCCCTTTCATTCTGCTTGCAATTTTTTCTGTGATTGGTCTTTACAAGCTGCACTACTTCATTATATACTGGCCTGAGATGCTTTTTGTAACCCACCAAACGATATTCATGTCTTTTTGTCGCCTATCAAATACCCTATGGACAGACTGGAGAAGCATTCTCCAGTTGGAATCAGTTCAGAAATACGTTGATCATGAAGTTGTTACAATGGACCAAATCATTCATCCAGAATTAGACACTTGGGAAGTCAAAAAACATGTTCTACCCATCACCAGCATTAATCAGCAGGTGTCTGGCTTTGGTGAGTTCAGCCGAAGTATATTGTATAAATATTGTATATTTATAGTAATTGGAAGTGGATTTCTGTAGCATCACATACACATATACATGTTTAGAAGGCATTTTCATCTTCATTTTCACTGTATTTCACTGTATTTTCATTATTGAAATCCTGTCAAATCAAGCTGTGAAACACACCTATTGCAAAAAATATCATGAAATGATTGCTGAAAATGATTCCTGCTGTGAAATACCATCCAAGTACATTAGTTCCACTTCCAAGACATTGCCTCCTGTTTGGTATTGCATTGTTTTAATGGATCATCATCCAATCATGACATTGGAATATAAAACTTTAATCCAAAGACAGCATATTTATGCAAAAAACTTATAGCCACTGTCATCTGCATAACAGATTCTGCCAAATACAGTCAACCCTTGATTTTGTGCTCCCTCCCCCTCCCCCTTAATCATGTTTGATCTCTATAAATTTGAGCTCCAGAAATTTGTTTTGTGGCTTTCTCTTTCAGAAATTAGAATCAGTGGCCTAACACTTCTGTAAACTACCTTTTTTGTCCACAGAGGAAACTCTAACTAAACCTCCCTCTGACAGGATGGCCTTGATTTATTGCCATTTTTGCTCAGTGCCAAAAAATGTGCCACAACATATATCTTCACTAAATCAAGACTATATTACAGAAAATGAAGTACAGTAACACATATTTTTGGATGCTGTCATTTATTACAGTTTCAATGAAAAATGCTTCTCTGCAACCTCCTGCTCTTATGACAATGTTATCCCTTCCATCAAATTTCCAAATTTTAATGGATATTAAGAATAAAGATGAAGATGTTGAATATCATTACAAATCTGTTATACATAATTTGACAAGTTTTGAAAATTGAGAAAATGCTATAATTTTTATTCAATATTCTGCTAACAAAATGAATTTCAGAATGAATTTGTAGCATTCAAACTTTGGCACAGTATACTTAATTTTGTTGAATGTGTTCAAGAAATAAAGTACTTATTGTATTTTTTTGCAGGGAGGGATTTATCCTGCAGACCTCATGCTAAAAACAGTACCAAGCTCCACATCCTCATCATAGTCATGTCTGCAGCAAAAAATTTTGCCCACAGAGACAGGATCAGGCAAACATGGGGAAAAGTTGCTAATGAAAGCTCTGAGTTTTTCACAGTTGCTTTCTTGGTGGCAGTGCCAAGGTCCTGGGACCAACAAGCCCTCTTGATAGAAGAGCAACACACCAATGGAGACCTTGTACAGAGTCCAGTAGAAGAAGTGAAGTTCCACATTGCCTTCAAAGACTTGGGGTCAATTTTGTGGATGATCAAGAGATGCAAAATTGCTACCCATGTCTTGAAAACTGATGATGACTTGTATGTGAATATCAGGAACCTCTTAACATTTGCCAAGGAGCATGAAAATGATAATGCAATGTTTGGCTGGAGGGAGACACAGGGATGCTTTTACACATGGGCTGAGAATTATGACATGAGGAAGTTGTCCAAACTGCCCAAGGATCACAAGACTGAACTGTCTTTTCCATTCCCACAGTTTCCTACTTTTTTGATCCAGTCATACTTTTATCCAGCCAAGTTTCTACCAAGGTTGGCTGAAGCTGCATACAAAGTCCCTGCTTGGGCTATCCAGTCTGATAGGTATGTTCAATGTCATGGATCTAAACCTGCAATGGTTAATTATTCTGGATTTCAGCTTGTATTCCTCAATTAGGTAATTCTGGGATTATTCTTGAAAGAATAACATGATACTGAATACAGTAATTGAGATTAACCAAGACTTGAGACACAAGTATATGAGGCCAAACAATCTTTGTAAAATTCAAAAAATCCATTGTATTCTTCAATGTAGTGCAGTCAGCTTATACAAATTACCAGAAAAGACTCACTATATACAAGATAAAATAATAAAATGAAACAACATACAGTATTATATAGTCCCTTTTTCTATTTTAAATGTAGTCAAACAGTTGGAATTTTTATTTTTATTCACTTTCTGGTTGATTTCATAAATGGTTTGACTGATTTCCTGTGCCTACCCTGGATTTCAACTAAACAGAGAACTCATGAAAAACATGGTAAGATAAATTTTTATTGTTTCACACCCTTTTAAATTTGTGGCATCTTTGTCTAGCATGTACAGTACTTTCATAACTATAGGTGTGAAATCTTGTCCCACAAATTATTTTCATTTCAAAATCTGGTTCTATTGTTTGATACTTGCTTTGCATTGTTTCTACACAACAGGTACATAAGTGGAATCCTTGCAGAATTTGCTGGCATTGAAAGAGCTGATGAACCAAGATTCAGGGTTTCATTCCTGGAATCATTTTTGAGCAGGTGGTTCCTGCCAAGGGAATGGATGAAAGAGAAATACAGGGATGCCATCATTGTGTCTCATGTGCATGCTCCAAAATTTCACTTGTCTGAAACTGAGTTGGTTTATTTGTATGAATTATTCAATTGAGGAAGTGAGGATTTTCTTTTCCTTGGTTTCTTGGGGGCTAAATGTGAGAGATTAATAAATAAAATGTCTCATGATTGAGGAACAAACGCTATATTGTTTCTATACCTCTTCACACGAAGATCAGCACACTCTGAATGAGATATTGGACAGAAATAGTTGACAAGAAAAAGGGAAATGAGACTGAAAAATTCGATTTTGAATTGCAATTGGATCCCAAGCACATATAAGTCATTATGTGAGGCTTGCTTTTGTCCAGGTTAAATCCTGAGTTCAGTGGCCCTGTAAAACGTGCTGCGCCCATATAGACAATGCTTCCATTAGCTGAAAATAAAATGCATTAGTTATGTACTGTAAATAACAAATAAACATCGCCACGCATAACATGGAAAAATTCACATGTGTCAATTGTTCTTAAGCAAGCCAAAGGAGCAGGACGATGTATCTCCTTTGGAATTTTCTTGCATTGTTCAGCACCCATACATGCAAGGCATGACATCATGATCTTCACTGGTGTATAGTATGCAACTGAAGTGGAAATCATGCCCAATTTTTCAATTGATGCACACAAGGGATTTGTAAGCAATTTTACCTGGTTCATTTGCTCCATCATGTCCATGTTCTGTTTGAAATGATGCAGTTGTCATTACAGTAAAATATATAACAAGGGTTACCAAGATTATGGAGCTCATGTTGAACTTTTGGAAGGTTCAGGCATATGGACTCTTCAATGTAATCCAAGTACAAGATATCAATAACCATTACCATTTACTGCCTAAGTATTCTGAACAGATGAATTAAGATGCATGAGCTACCATCAAGAGCCTTCAGTGAGCACTACACAAAATTTTGAAGACTACTCTGTCAGTTCTTTTGTATTAGATTTTATCAACAGCTGAGAAGAGTATATATTTGAATAATGTAAACATAGCCCTGCTCATGTGCCAGTTGTGGCCTGCTGCATTGAGCTCAATTATGAGATAACTGATGGTGGTCGTTCAACACAACCAGCTGTATCAAGTAGTAGAGCGTCCTCAGTGCGGACGAAAAAAAAGAAAAAAAAGAAAAAAACCATTGCAGACGTGGGATTTGAACCCATGCTTAAAGAATCAGACTGTGACCTGAGCGCAGCGCCTTAGACTGCTCAGCCATCCTGACAAATTAATGTAATGAATGCGTTTGTTTTCATGTAAGAAACAAACAGTAAACAAACAGGCCACAGACACACATTACACAATGTCCTTATTATTGCCCCCCAGACCTCTGTAGGATCCTACTGGTCATTCCTCCCATAATCCACTTATTATACTATCTTCATAATTCTTTTCACATCACAATGCTCATTATGGTGATGTGACTGAGCACCCCCTATTACACATATTGATTTGTCTTATACATAAAATGTTTCCAATATAAAATGTGTCCAATGCCCAGGAATGGCTGGGCACCCCAGCTTGTATACTTGAATAATTATAAACACATACAAAATATTGACCAAGTGATTCAGACTATTCAGAATCATGCTTGAGTGCCACCATATGTCAATGTCTAAATATCTTGGCACAGAGCAATGATGACATGATTTTGTTTGAGGTTACAATATGAAGCCCAGGCTCATTTACCTTATTCAAAGAGTCAAAGTTTCCTATTTACAACATTTCTACACTGGCTTCCAGAAAGAGATGGAGTTTTCAAAACAGTAATGGCAGGAAAAACTTTGGATTTCCCATGAGCAAGAAACTGAATTTGTTTCAATCCAGATAACAGACACATTGTGAAAATAACTTGTGTGTTTTTGGCCAAGATCCCAATAATGTTTTGCATGAGATGCATAAACAGAAGAAAATATTTCTTTGTAAAATTTGGGTTTGGACTAAATCAGGGGTTGACTCATTCATTGTTACACAATTTCCCAACATGCTTCTTATTTGGCCTAATAACATCAATCCATGAAATTCATCATGAGGAAATAGGGAGGGGGGCTGATTATCAGATCTGAATGTCTGACCTCTGTTGTATTTTTTGCAACCAAAAGGGATGTGAAACTAAGGAGCACACATATACATATAATCAAATTAAAACTCTGAACAGCAGAATCTCAGGTTATTCATTTTTTCATCAGCAGAAGATGCACCTTTCTATATGGACAAATTTTCCAGCCTGAACAAATCGCAGAACTTTTTTCTAATTTTATTCATATTTACAATCCCATCAACATTTCAAGAAGAAACCAGCAGAGGAACCTTCAGTGCTGGATTTCGAAACCGCTTCTCCCATTTATCTGCCAGCTCAGGCCGTCTTGGTTTATGTTTATAATAATCTTCAACCCTGTGCAAAAATCTTTTCATTTTATTTTATTTTTGTGCGTGCCAAAGCGCAAGCAAAAAAAAAATATATATATACATGGAGCTGCGGTAATGGGACAGAAGTAAACGTTCAATGCGCTCACCTTTTTCTTCTTGCGTTGTTTTTTCTGTTTAGTTTTTTGTTTCCTCCATATTTCACTCCCCTCATCAGTGTGGCCCGCGTTTCTTCCTTGCAGATGCATTGTTGGCGTCCCTCGAATGCGCCGTGAGTCGGTGTGTTTTCACATGACTGTGCTGTGCGTGCCGGGGGTTCAACTTCTGAATCTGTCCCACTGTTCCTTGTCTGCTGACGGCAACGGGTCTTTCCTAGGATGGCCTCTGCATGAGCTAGGAATGCATTTGTGGATGAAGGAAGGAATGAATGAATGAACAGAACACGTTATTTGCTGCTTCTCAGCATTCACAAGGTTCAATCAAGATTTCCATGTCAAAAAACCCCCCCCCCCCCCACACGCGGACACCTTGACCTGCGGACAATTAAATTTCTCCACAAAAAACGCATTTCGATATATTTTAGCAGTGTGCAGAAAAACGTGTAATGCATCCTTCAAGCATCATAACGGCTCTTCGTCAGAGGATTTAATTTAAATTTTCTGCACATTTATGCATATGAACGAACATCTGAATTCGGCGGGTTTTCTTTTCTAGCAAAGGTTTCTAAATCTTCTCACCTGCGCAAAAAACAATTCAACCACAAAATGAATGATATCACGAGTAAATATCTCGAAAATTTAAACATATCTCGAAAAGTAGAAAACTGTAGGCTACTTCACTCATTAAAAATGACAGATGCTATGTTTTCTTACCGATGAGACTCTTTTTTGTGCCTCAGAATGCATTTTTCTTGATTATGCTTTTAAATGGTCAGAAAAATCGAATTTCAAGGATTTTCTATCTGGATTCAGGTACAGATGTGAACAACTTTTCTAGTAATCTCGTAACCACGAATTTTTCGTTAAATCGGGCTTTGATTTGAATTACGTTGTGTGTACAGTTCTATGTTACAAGATTTCATTTGGACAACCATATAATCCGAAATTTTTCTACTGATAAGAAGCAAGTGTTGTGCAGTATTTCACTATAACGAATCGATCGTCGGATTTAACCGCATAAAAATTGTTTAGAGCCGATTTTCGAGGGGGGAAAGTGCGTCTGCATCATTTCATTAAACACAATTACTGTACTTTTCCCCATTCGGGACCCAACGATCGAAAGGCAAAAGAGGCTATAATAAACCCCAGAAAATAACCGCCTCTACATTTATCCTCTTCAGAAAACTGAAACACGATGAAGTCGATGAACCCGCGAGCGGCATTTTTTTGGGGGGGCTGTGAACCAGCGTTTCCTCTGCTGGGCCCGGTGACGGGAAGATTGATATACCTGTTCAGAAGCAACAGCTACGCTATATACACACACACACACATCGCCGGGGTCCTACGGGTTGCGCGTATATATATATGTGCCAGAGAAACGGGGCACTACTGGTTGACTATCCGGGGTTCTCTGCATATCTGCTTCTTCTTCGTATAGTCTTCTCCTTCTTCTTCCTTGACTCGTCCTTTCATCCGTGGAACTGAAACGATGAAAAGGAAAAGAGACCGAACTGTATCGTTCTCACGCGTCGCTTGCAACCCTCTTCATACATACACGCATCCGTAACGCGACGGGACAGAAATACGCTTTGTGTATGTTGCATACCACCTCGACGTGATGTTTAGAACAGATCCTTTTCTGGATTGCTGATGGTGCGGATGTATGCTTCAAAATTATTCGCATCTGTTGTTGGGCATTATTCACGTGTATAAAATGTGAGCTGGTGAAGCCGTGACACGAGAAAAGAGGAAGAGAGAGAGAGAGAGAGACATCTATTCATTGATATACCGAAGCTAAATTCATTATCCATCTGGGATCTCAAAGAAAATTCAAAGTACACTGAGACCTCCAGATGTGAACATAATTGGTGCAACAAGAGTGTCCCTAAGTTTAATTGTCCCTAAGGTGAGTCTTGTTTTCCCATGGACTTACATTACATAATTTTTGATTGGTGTTTTATGGCAGAAATATTCTCCAGAATTCCTTTTTTTCATGTTACCACTTGAATTTGAATTTGAGTGAATATCAAATGACATACAGTACTGTATAGTGCTTTGATTCGTTCTAAGCAATGATTTTTTTATTCACCAAGTATCGTTGAATACTTGAGATTCTACTTCGGAATCGCTTTTGCACACACGCTGCTGTAGTTTGACTGTTTGAGTCATTCAAAGTAAAGTCTGCTGAGTTTTTATCTGATGGATTATGCATACAGTACCGTATTTATTAGGAGCATTCATTTTTGACAAATCACTGTAGCAAATGAGAAAATGTAACTAAAAAAACTGACTATGAACGAATAAGACTTGAAAAATCTGTTAATAGTATCCTCAGTATACGAAGTACAATAAGCACATACACATAAGATACTTATACGAGCATTCCACTACAAGTATAAAACAATATTGTTATCTTGGTATGGGAACTGATCCCTTTGGAACAATTTCAAATTAGTATTCCATTTCAGATTCCTTGGAATTGTCTTTATAAAATTCATAAATTTACTTTGCTCAGAAAACAATTTACGAAAAATAACTTCAAAAATAATGGCATAACTACTTCAATTATCAAAAAAAGAACGTTCTCCATAATCAAAAAATATTAAGTAGTCTTTCACCCACTTCAAGAAATGAGAATATCAACTATGAAATATTGTTGCAATGGACTGCGTAACAGCTCTTCTCTCTAAGGTTCTTTAAGCAATTATATTCTTATATGTCTCATCTTAAATATATGAAAAATATGTAATTGCTAAAACCAGGAAATCTCTCGCGCATATTTTTCTAAATTATTTTCCTGGTGGTAGCATCTGCATCAGGGTCTGTTATGTGAACAGATCATAAGTTTTGAGACTATGAGAGAGATACAGCAGCAGTTCTATCAACGAAACGGTTTAAACGTTTGGATCAAGAGGACGCTGCAAAAAAATTGCGAACAAAACCAAATTAGCCCAACCCCTTCTGTGAAAACCGAAGGCCGGATAAAATTGTCTAGGAAGAACTGCGAACGTACGTAAGAAAATGAGCGGAAGATGAAGTAGTATAGTATAGTAGTTTTTCTATGAAAAGGCCGCCGTGGACAGCGTTTTAAAAAATGTATAAAAAAAAAAAAAAAACCTGATGAATCCCTGGCACTAAAAATATCCGCTCAGCTCAGAGGTATACTATAGTGTTGAAAGAAGCCCAGGTCCGCTTCCTTTTCTCCCCTCTATGTATACCTTTAAACCAGCGCTTCTCAATCTTCGTCATCTCCTCTGTGTTGCTGCTTTCTTTCTCTCTCCCCCCTTCTTTCGTTCATTTTCGTTCTGAGCAGAAAAACCGGAAGAAGGAACTAATATGTAAGAAGAAGAAGAAGAGGGGGAAAGCGGGCAGCAAAAGCGAGAAGGGAGTAAAGAAAAGATATATTTGCACACCTGAGTCTCGCCGGCTGTATAGTTGGCCGAGCGCCAAAAAACAGGCGCTGGACTCGGTTTAGACTGAAACATTTTCACTTTTATTTTCGTTGCTGAGCAGCAGCATATCGTAATGAAAAGAGGTAATCTGACTCCTAATTATGACTCGGAATTCTGATGAACAGCATTTATTTCCGATCTTCCACATACTGAGAAAGCTCACCACACCGCTTCGACGAAGGGTTCAGCTTTTTTCGCCATGGACTCGCTCGTGACCTTCCATCAACGTGTTATAATTTCGACGTTTCTGCCGAAACCCGCACGAAATTCGTGCATCAACGACATCTACGATAGAAAACCGAACTAAAATTTGTCAATGCATACAAGCTTCATTATTTCGGTACAACAAAAACAAATACAGAACTAACTTGACCAGAGCCAGGGGAAGAAAAATTGAAGCGTACAGTTTTTCTCATGTGTATATATGTCATAAAGACAGGGGTTCAATTAAGCATACTTACGTCTATTGGTAATTAATGTAAGTATTTTTAGTGCGCTTGTTTAATATTGTTCTTTAAATTTAATATATGTATATCTGCTACCGGTTGATTTTGAATGGCTGCTGAAAATTGAGAAGGCAAAAAATGGCAGTAAATTTCTTCATGCAGTTTTTTCAATCTACAGTCATACCCCGTCAAGACAACCCCTGATAAAGCGACACCCTTCCCAACCACCAAAATTTTGAATGAAACAAATTCCATGTTAAATTCTATAGAAACCCTCAATAAGACACCAACTGCCATCTGCCAGCATTAGTGATGAAACAAGAGTGCTGTTTCCTATTAGTTTTGCCTTTGTTGCAATTCCAACATTGGGGCAGAATTATAATTTCTGTCAAGGATCTTGCATTTGTAAAAATAAAAAAATAATTAGAATCATTTTTTGGAAAATTGGAAAAATATTGACCGAATCCTAAAATTTGAATAAATTGATACAGCAAAATTAATTTTATTGAAGAGTAACCCATTGATCACAGCAGTACTCTTTTGAAAATTACTGAAGTTTCTGGAAAACCTGTATCTCTACCACTTTTGGAGGAAAATTGAGTTTTTTTTTTTATCAAATAATTTAAAATGAAATATTTGATAAACCGCCAACCCCTTTAAACCGCCAAAATTGCTCTGGACAAATGGTGGCGTCTTTTGGGATTTGACTGTTTATATATATATATATATATACAGTATATATTTACATATATATCCTGACCCGTTATATTTTTGGAGCTCACATACAGTATTTAAAAATTGGGAATGATTCGATGCAAGACTCGGTACTTATTATAGGAGGCATCAAGTTAATAATTGTAGTATGGTTACTCAAATTACCCGAGTAATTAAATTTTAATGCTAACTGTACTTCATAGCTGCACTTTGTAATACCCTCTGGCTGAGAAAGCTTCTTACCCTCCCAGGGTTCATTCGCAATTAAATTTTATTTTACACCTCAGTACATCGCCATAAGGAATAACTGTTGGTATTTTCGTTTAATATGCTGCCACGAAGAAGTAATCTTCAGTAAAGGTCAATAATACTTTATTACTTCGCGTACATCGCGTCAATAAAAAGTCTGTAAAATTTTAAAACGCCGTTCGATAAGATGTTTGAAGCAACCGCAAATCAAAGGTTATTACTTTATTTATGAAACATTTTCACTCACCGTAAGAGTTCGTGGCTTTCCGCGAAAGTTGTACGGTGTTAAAAACTACAAATGCCTTTGCATGTTGAATAAAAGAAAATAGAACCCAAAAAATTCCAACGGTTTGCATTGGATCAGCAATTATTCATGTACTGTACTAGCTGTACCGTACATAGCTTCATATTACACACAACCAAGATGACTCATCAAAAAAACGTTTTGTTGGGGAAAATTAGCTCTTGGCCTGATTTCGTTTAGATCAAATAGACTTTCAGGATAATGGACTTTTTCTTGTACAGTATTGAACTAATAATGTTTACTGAAATATCAATGAAATTAACAATCCTGAATCAGGAATACTGTACTCAGCAGTACTGATGTATTGTGTAACACAACATAATTAGGAGAGGAAATATGAACCGCCTCCACACAACATTATTCAGAATAATTTGAAAACCAGCAATAACAATCTGTGCACACCCTGTACAGTAGTATTTGGTGATCAATAAATAAATCGATAGATACAAATGTACATTTTTGCTGAATAAAAGTTGAATACTGTATTAGAAAAACAAAGCCAAATACTGTACTGTGTTAAATTGACTTGTTCAGATTAAAACTTTAATGTCTGTACAATATGTCTATATAGCTTTTTGACATTTTTCAAAGATTTATCCTCCAATTTGAGAATATTATGCGGGCCAAAATTTAGAAGATTGTAAAAAAATTCTGAACTAGTAATGAAGACATTCACCCCAATTTAAATAAGTACTGTACAGTGATTCTGAATTTATGTACATTTCCAGAAAAAAAAGGAGCGCGTGGTTCTCAAATACGTTATAGCTTTTGGTGCAAAGTTGATGCACAAACATTTTTTTGCTCCGGTGTACAATAGTTCATTTTATACATAATTCTTTTATTTAATGACAATGCGATTGTTTGTCGTGTGAAATATTTCATCATGCGAGGCACCCGCAGTAAATCAGGAACTGCATGAGTTTCGGTATAATACTGTACACATGAAAGGGGTATACAGTAAATGCACAGTATTATGCACGGCGAACAGGAGGCAGAATGAAAAATAGCCTAAAACGCGTGCCGCGCCTGCTAAGCACGGATCGAGGGGAATATATATATACTTGTACATAGCGGGATACACGAACCGGATTTCATTGAGGAAAATGCCTCGGGTACCTGACCCACATTCCCCGGGTTGCGCGGAGAAAATGTTCGACGACGTCGTGGTCGTCACCCGCGCCGTCGCAGGTGACGACGGGATGCCGATGCACGTTCAAGGAATGTCGTCGCGCGTCATGCGAAGCATCCTGATTTATCGCAACTCCGGGACCCGCGTCGTGGTGTGTAATCAAATACAGCTTATATCCGTCCGTGGAAAGCGTCCGAACGGGATATGTGCTGTTGCATACATAGTATGTGCTTTGTATGTGCATGATGGTAATGAACATACACTCTCTACAACGATGAACATTAAGGGGCCAGGGAAAAAAATGCTTCATAGATGAGAACCTGGAATTTAAAGCTAGAGAGGATTAATTCATGATACAATATTCATTCTTCATTGCCAGATAAATTTAGAATTCTGTACAACTGATGTGTGCTTGGTTCTTCCTCTACCCAGGTCTTGGGAATTCTCTACAACGATTTTTTTTTTGTCTCTAGAATTTCGTTGTTGAGAGAGTTCACCTGTAAAGTATTCAGAATACTGTCCAGAGATCAGCGTGTATTTGAAGTCACTCTGAAGAGTTCGAGCGTGCTTAAGTAATCCGCGTGCTCGCGTTTTTCCCTCACTCTTTTTTGCTTTGTTTTACTTTGATCTTGTATTTATTTATTTTTTTCGTGGAGAAGATGCCTGCCCGTGAAGTTGCCGGCTCATTTTGGAGCCATCAATCAGTGCGGGGCATGTTCGGAATGTTGATAACGCCGTTCATTACCAAATGCCTCGTCCGATCAATATCTACGTGTGCTGAAAGAGTTGCTCGTCCTAGGTTTTTTTCCATTCCTGCTGCAGATGCTTCGGATTTCGCCAGGAAACGCATCCACTGACTATGTACAGTATACAGTACTCGTACTGTACTGTACACTTCACTGAACTAGACATCGAAATTCGCGATTCGACAACTAACTTCAATCATTTCTGAAAGTGGGCTTCACGTTTTCTCGTTCCATGAAACCGGTGGGTACTCATCATTTCTAAAATTTTACAAAGTATTAAACTCGATAGGAAAGTTTGAAAATTCGGCATACGGTCGCACTTCCTAAAACTTCGCGTCTATCCTCGAACTACTGCATTCCTCAGTGGAGAAAATGGGAATTACGGTATTATTTTATCATTAATGCAAGTGAAGGACATTAAAATATTAGAATACGCATACAGAAGTTTCAAATACAGAAAATAACAAGGAATCGTATTTTGGACAATCAAGACTTGTTTTTCGCAGGGTTTCTTCAAAAATGGATTGTCAAGATAAGTTTATTTTTCGTCTAGAAAGCTCTACACTCGACCTTCCTGAACATCGTGATGTACAGTATCGTTGGACGATATAATATATTATACACCGAAAGTTAGAAAAATTCAGCATGCATCCAGTATTTGCCTATGTGAAATGGTTCCAATTATTTTATTTCAAGTTGTACGAAAAGATGCAGGTGTACGATATGGCGCACAAAAAGTACGCCATACCGCCTTAATGTAAACTTTGGGCAGAGCTTTGAGAGCTGGGACATGTATTAAGAGGCTTGACCAAAAGACTATTGTACTCTCAAAATATTGTCTGTTTTCAATTGAAGGTTGGGTCCCCTCAGGTAAACTTCCTCGATAACTTTGATTACGAACTAAGAAACGTGATACTATGCAGGGAGAAGAATTCGAATACGTCATGAACGTTTGAGTTGATGCCCCAGTCGAAAGCCACTTTAATCCTAGCACAGACGCTCACACACGGACACTCACTGGGCAGACGAGCAATCAACGCGGAAAAAAAAATCACCAATGAAGAAGACCTACGAAGTTCCTCCACTGACCATCACCCCCACAAGCATTAGCCAGCACACCCTTCAACAAAAATGAACCCCCATCTCGCATTACTCGGCATCCTTGAGCCTCTTGGCCACATCCTCCCAGTTGGCCACCTTGTAGATATTGTTCACATAGTCAGGCCGCACATTCTTGTACTGCAAATAATAGGCGTGCTCCCAGACGTCAATGCCGAACAGCGGAACGAGCCCTGTGGTGGGTTCCAGCGGGTCCTGGTTGGCGCAAACAGCGATTCGCAGCCGCTTAGCCTGCTTGTCGTAGCCGAGCCAGCCCCAGCCCGAGCCCTGGACGCCGACTGTGGCGGCACTCAGCTGTGCCTTCATGTTGTCGAAGCTACCGAAGTCCTTCTTGATTTGGTCGGCGAGGGCGCCGGTCGGCTCGCCGCCGCCTTTTGGACTCAGGTTCTGCCAGAAGATGGAGTGGTTGATGTGCCCACCGCCGTTGAACTTGAGCGCGGGGCCCAACGCAATGATGGCTTTTATGTTGTCTGTAGGTATCAGAAGTGTAGAAAATTATTGTATGTCCCAAATTATTATTTTTTATTCGTCATTTGATAAATGGTACTGTTATGTGCATTCAGCCACGGACAGTGGCCCGGAATACGAACTTCTTTACAAAATTCCGAAAAATGCGCGCTTTTAATAAATCATTTCGACTCCACCAATTAGAATTCGATTTTAGGCTTTTCTTCCGGATATATTATACAAGGTATTATGAGAGGAACACAATGAAAAATACCCTTGAAAAGCAGAGCTTCCAATCAATCACCAAAAACCAGAGATTTAAACTCACTCTTCGCCTTGGCTTCTTCCAATTTCTCTTCAGCCACATTCAAGTTGGTCACGTAAGTATTATGATGCTTTCCATGATGCAGCTGCATGATTTCAGCGGAAATAGTCGGTTCCAACGCATTGTAATCGTAAGGCAGATCCGGAAGCGTGTGCTTCAATTTGGCAGTCAGAACACTATAGGAGCTCGTCGCACCTCTCGCCAAATTCAGTCGGCTTACAGCCACCGCCGCCAACATATTGCTCACAATTTAAATCTTTTCTCTACGAAAACGGAAGAGTTACCAGCCAAAAAAAATGTCAGTAATATGGGTCTCAACAAAACATTCACAAGCAGCAGATAACGGGCGAGATCTCGGAAATTAATTTTTCCCCCACAGACAGCGCAATACAATCTTCAACAAATGATGTCAGACGCGTAAAAAAACCTCAATTCAATTTCGAACTCCTGAACAAACAAAAAAGTTCGCGAATAACATAGGAGGAGCATTCAATCGAACATGTGCGAGAAGTTTTCCTGATACAAGCGGATGTACTCGTCCTTCTCCACTTGGCTCATCCTTGCTATCACAGAAGCGTCCACACTGGCCAAGGGCACTCGTTCTCCTCCCACCGTCACGCAGGGTCCACCATTCATCACCTGAAGGCAGATATTTGAAAATACTTGACAAGGAAATTGCTTAGTGCAGATTCAATTTTTTCGAGCGCTGAAGATCCAAGAATTTCTAGACCCGTCCTAGAAACCTAGTCAAAATATAATTCCCCTCACACAAGAAGTCGCTCAATGAAACCAAGAAAACTTCAGAATTATAATTTTTAATTGAAACACCTGACCTTGACGGAAAAATTGTTTTCTCTGCTATTGATTTGCGTTTCACGCATCTTGTCATGATTTTTAGGTCTAATTTCGGTTCGCGAATTTCGGCTAAGGCTAAGTTAATTTTATTGATTGTTAGGTCGGGCAGCTTCGCGGGCTCCTGCGACATTGCAGGGCATAGTGAATAGCCTGAAAAACATTAAAAAATGTCTATAGTATTATGAGGTCTATTTACTGCTATAAAAAATAAAACAAAACAAAAAATCAGTTACTCTTCCTCGGATGTGAGATATGTTTCGCGTGGATCACCGATTTAAACAAGCAAAACATTGCCAGTTAGACCTAGCATAATTCAGGGGACAACATTGCAACGTTAAAAAAAACTCATGAAGCCAGAATTTGAAAGAGATTTCCAGCGTTAAAACGGGCATAATCTCTCCAAGGGGATTTCATCCCCTAGTACCATATATTTTACATAAAATGAAAGTTTTTCCTGGTCCCACCCAACATGCTTTACAGCGAAATTCCGTCTATAGTATGATTATTCATTAATTTCTAGTCTTTCAGAAACGGTTAAAAAAACGACGCGAAATGCACTGAGCATGAGTAAAGTTCTCGACGGCGCACCTGAACCTCGTCGCCGTCACTATCCTCCATTTCGTCATCCTCCATCTCCTCGTCCGTGTTGGCTCCCCCGACACTGATTGCCGATATTGGCGGAGGGGCGGCAGGCGGCGTGGCACTCGAAGATGGCATCTCGTGCGCCATCAGGAAAGACATGATGTCGTCCGACGGCTTCGCTGCTGACTTGCCCGAAGCTGGTGCCGCAGAAGGTGCACTCGACCCATTCTGCGTCTGTGGGGAGATTGAAAAAATAATGCGGATACATCACAGGTCAATATTGAAAATTTTGTTGAAGAATTCGGGCAGAAAAAAAAGTACCGTATTCGAGGCAGCAGAGTCAACGATTGTGCTGGTCGTCATCCAGATCGGGCGGTCTTTCTGCACGCGGGTTTTCGCGGCGTCCGCATCGGCGCCTTCTTTCCCGAAAGAGATCGTGACTGGTGTGTCCTCCAACAAACCCTGGTTTCGCGTGGCTTCCCCAGACCACACCCCTTCTTTTCTTCCTTTTCCATCCATGAGATTGCTGCGCGAAAATTAAAACAAAGTTGATAGTACAATTACGTACACTCGTGCAGTGTAGTCAGAAAATATGTCTTCAAAGGATTCACAGGTGCTTCTTGTCACTACAGCCAACCGTACCTTCCTAAACGTCAGGGACAAGTTACTCGAATCTTTTACCGAAAAGTAACCTTACAGAACTTATGAATACATAAGTTGAAGTGATCTACGTCCATTCAAATTGACAAAATGTATCCGAAGTTCCGTCACCCAATAACAAATGATTAAAGTGTCACAATTAAAGTGAAATCTACGGAAAAAGATGGAAAAAGCTATCGGTTAACTCCGGGCCTTGAACATGAACAAAAATTAAGAACATTCCAGTAAAAAGCTAGGCATTTTAAAATAAATTTTCAAAAATAATTCGCCTAAATGTAGGATATTTTTGAAAAAAGAGGAAGCACCTGGTGAGAGCAGCCATGTCGGTGGGCTCGGGAGCAAGAAGCTCAGCTGCAAGTTGGATCCCTTCCACTTGTCCTAAAAGCACGAACAACTGGCCAAGTTGTTCGTTGAACTTCTGCATCGTCATTCGCTCGCTGTTCTCGCCAGAAGTGTCCCCGACGACGCTCTCCAGAACTTCTCCGTTGCAGAATGTACACCTTAGCTCCTCCGTTTCAAAATTGTACAACTGATCAACCTGAATTAAAATATATATCATTCATCAACAGCTGGAGCTCGACTTTTCCTCACTAAGGCGCATTCTTCCACGAATAGGATGCTGAAATCACAGTAGGGAAATTTCAAAATATCTTACGAAAGCATTCTTGCGGAAAGAAACTTTAAAATAAGAATTTGGGATTCATCTCCATAGAAGCAACTTTCATGAAATTACAAGGGTCTTTTCATTTCGCCTAAATTTTTATGCATAAAAAGAAAATGAGTCAGTGATTCCAACGACGGTTCGCATGTAACTCGCAAAAGCCCTGTGCTTCGTACGTTCTCGCCAAAAGCTGCCGAAGTTTTTTCTTCCTCCATTCCTTTATAATAACACTTCAGATAAAAATGAGACTTAGTCAAACGACCAACCTCTAGATCAGTAAAGGTTTTCTGACATTCCCTGCATTGAAAACTGGCCCGGTTGGCTTCATCCCGATCCCTGGCATCCAACTTCCTCCGAATATGGTCCAATTTGTACTTCACAACATTGACAAGACTCTGGGCGATAAATAAAAAAAAAGTGACAGGTTGTCTTCATACGAGTTATCTTTTTAAGAATCGAAGAATTCTCCTCAAAGTACCTTGTAATTAACGTAATAGTAATTCACTCTTTGTGCTTTCCCGTCCTGTCCGGTTTCTACCTTCAGCCGAACCTGAAATAATAAGAAAAATATTCAAGTTTATCCATCGATGAGTCGTCGTGCTAGCGATGAACAAAACTACATTTCTGTCATTTTCAAAATGTTCACCTGAATAAAACGGTCGTTTTTTAACGTGGCTATTCGTGCACGCAGCTGCTTCTTCTCGAGTTTCAGCAAATCACAGATATCGTCCTCTTTCATACCTGGATAGAAAGACGACAGTTATAACGGCGAAATCATCGTGGTCGAAGGGCGAAAAAAACAAGGGCGGAAAAACCCGGGGTGAAAGCAGAAATTCGAGGTTCAAATCGAATACATACTAACGAATCAAGGTTAAGCTTTGCAACAAAGAGAAACTTCGTTTGAAATGTTAGTAGGATAAAAGTCACTTCTTATTTTTCAGCTGATGATTTAATAAGCAATTGTCTGTCCAAAATTTCGGATGAAGCAAACAGACCGCATTACTACGTTTAAAAACGTGTTATGCTCAAGAAAATTTCCCACAGACCAGCAAAAAAACTTCTGTGGAAAAGTGCCGATCTGATGACCACAGGTTGAAGAACATTGCCATACAGTTCAGTCTCATAAACAAATTGGAGCTTTTACCTGGAAACGAAAGTTTTTTTACCAAATTTTTCATCAACAGGGATTTTTCTTTGAGGACAAAAATTTGTTGAGGGTTCACCACTTCCGGTCTGTACTCACAAGGGTTCCTCACAAGAATATCCACAATGAGCGAGTCTTCTATAGAGTAGAAGCCGCGCGACACGAGCCTAGCTAGCTGCTTCAACGCCGTCGGCACCTCGGTCACGATCACCACTTTCCCCGCGGGGGCAGCTGCCGGCGCAGCACTCATCCTCCCTAGGCAAAACGCGGCAGAGAATGAAGTGAAGAAAATGAGGATCAGTAAAATCCCTGGGTAAACACACAACTGAAAAATTACGGGTTTCAATGTTATACACCCCCCCCCCCCCCCGGGACATCGAGTATGACCGCAATTACAAAAAGTTGGCCATCATAAACATTTCATTAATTGCTTACTTCTGGTGCATCCCAGCCATTTACTGAAGAAAAAAAACGGTAGGTAGGCCTTTTCGTGTCCAAGCAACATTTAAAGTAATAACATCTGTACTCTGTGTGCTGTTTGCTTTCAAAACTCAATTTTGTACAAAGCCGTCAATATACAAAGAAATGGACGTTGAGGTGGAACACATACAACTAAGTGCCATTCTGGGCCAAGAAGACAAAACGTATTATACAGTAATCCTATTTGTCATTCAATGAAGTGAATGTCCAGTAAGTCATCGTTGATGGAATGAGAGTTAGTCAAACTTTTTCCTCAAAAATAAGCAAAATAGTCAAGACTTTACGACCTCAGAGCTGCCTGAGTCACGGAACCTGAACCCGAGATTCGTCAAAAATTCAGTAACGATTAGTACATTTTTAGTATTGAAAGAGGATAAATCTTGGTAGGAAGAAATGTTTCACTTGATGAGTCCCCCCAGATTTTTGTGCGACTAGACGAAGCGTATATCATAATCCGCGATTTAACGAAGATGTGGGATAAAATTTGAATTACTTTTAGTTCGTTTGCGACACGCCTTCCATTTCGATATTATTGAGATGAAAGTCGGTCGAACTTCAATTAAAAGCTTTGTTCATCAAAAATAATTCTAAATTTTCTATTGAATTTCCTGGACAGGAATTGAAACACGAATAATGCCACCCAATTAAGATCGGGCTCAAGCTTCGAATAGGTCAAATTTTTGAGGTAAGACAGTCATGGATCCGTGATGGTTGAATTCTAATAGATTGGTAAGGTTCAAATTCATTATAGGTTATTTTATATCGGTTCTTAGTAAAATGTGTAACGTGGCTGCGCTTAATTAGATTGAGACCTGCGTAACAAGTGTGCGACACTCGACAGAATATTCCAGGGGGAGAGGGTATAACAGATGGATGTCAAATTAGGCAACAAAAAGTAGCCAAACAACAAACCCTTGGACGCTTTACGCGGAATTTGCATTTTCGCCTCGCCGATAGCGAACAAAACACGGAATCTCTTCTTCCCAATCTACGCCAAACGGAATTTCCTTCACGCGGAGAAAAAAAACAGCGACCATATTTGCGTCACGATCAACACCAAAAAAATCCCTTTCGACTGACTCCGTTTCTTCGGAAATCAAAACTTTCCAAAAACTCCGCAACCGCACACTTTTTTGTACATCAAACATGAATATAGTATTCCATCAGATTCAAACAGCCTCCGAAAAAAAAAAAAAAAAAAGAAAAAACAAAAAAAAACATTTTATTCCATCAGATTAAAACAGCCTCCGAAAAAAAAAAAAAAAACGGAACACTCAAAGAATACCATTCATCAAAAACGGCGGTCGAGAAACTTCCAGGCCCAACGAGACAAAATAAGGGAACAAAATTTGCAAAATGTTCTTCCTTTCAATAGGAAATCAAAGTTCCTCGTCTGGGACCCAGAAAAAAAAAGCGAATCCAGTAGGTTAGCTGTTGGAAATTGCAGTCTTTCGCCTTGGTTTGGATTTTTTTCGTTCATGAACTTGCCGTCGAAGGTTCCTGACACAATCCTCTGGCCAGGATCTGGCTCTTCAGAGAGTTCAGGCGAAGACGCAGCGACGCAAAGTTGAACTTGTCCGTTTTCTTCATACACATTCCACAAGCCACCAGGAAGTTCTGTAAAGGTTCGAAAAATTTAAATGATACCCTCTGACTCGATACCCTAAGCAAATTAGCAGGCAAACAAGCACAAATCAACAAACCTCAAGCAGTTGGCCGTCTTTGCACTTATTCTTCTCTGCCGTGGCAACGTAATGGTCAAACATGTTCATGAAATACTCATACACGACTTCTTGAATTTCCAAATTCAGGCTGCCGGCGAGACACATCTCTACCGTGTCACACACAGCTACACGCAACGTCTCGTGCACCAAATAAGCATTGTATTTCTCGACTTCCGGGCGTCCGATCGGTGAAAGGGACTCCTAGAACAAAAAATCGACACACTATATCGCAGCAATTCGAACAGCGCTGCAAACATTGACGGAATAAATGAGTATGAGTTTATTGGAGAACACGGAGGGTAAAGTATAAACGAACCTTCTCCAACCCAGGTTCATTATGGAGTGGTTCATCGTTCAGCAAAGACTGAATTGAGATCAGGAGACTGGCTAGACCCATGGAGGCAACCCAACCAGGACCTTCCCATGTTCTGCAATGAAGTGGACCATCGGGTCGAGGGGGCACAACAGAAAAGCAAAAGGAAAATGGGAGGATTCGGTCAGCTTTTCATCATTTTTCCTTTCTTCCATATTCGCTCATTTGACATTGACTTTATAATGATTAAACATTTTTTCAACAACTTCTTAAATATACTGAGGCGGAAAGAATAAAATTGAAGAAATCATCACATATATAACATAAGCTTTTTTTGAAAACGTCAACGCGCGTCGTGAATCTGAAGAAAGCAATTTTTAAAGGAATTTAATGTCGGATAAAAGTAAAGTGAATCATAAATCTAGTTTCTTTCGAAAGACTAATCCGAAGAGATTTGAAAAATAAATTCAAACTAACGAACTTGAACTCTGCAGTCAGATGAAGATTTCATGTATCGCACATCCTCACAACAAGATCTTGAATGAGGCGGTTACATGACCGTTACATCATAGAGGAAATATAATACAAGTCATGGACAACTCTCTGAAAAATCGCCACGTACAGTATACGGTATACGAGCTCTCTGAAAAATCCACACATAGCTCGTATCCGTCCAAAATTTTTGACTAGCTTTCTTTTTCTATGGAATCTTCTGGATGCCGAACATCAAAACGAACAATTTATACGCGATGAGATCACGCGATCACCTCTTACCCTAAAATAGACAAGCAGACTTTCCCATTGCTGTACAAGTTGGGGTTGAATCGAACGACCCCATTTCCGGTTGTGAGCAGCTTAACGCGCGGGGGATGGATCGGGTAGTTGGGTGGGCAGCGAATGAAGAAGCGAAATATGCCGCCTTCATACGGCGTGTCGTCCGGACCCGTGATCAATGCGTGCAATTGCGTCATGTCAGACTTGTCTGGTATCACGACGATCCCCGGCGGCGGATCTTTCAGGATAGTCTGCAAATCCCTGCGCGAACAATAACCGCATTGCTTGAAATTCGGAATGCAAATTTGAAACAAATTAAAACTGAATTCAACTCGAACTGAGAAGCAAAAATCGACCAGACTGAAAATAATGTGAAGTGAACCGTTTCCATTGAGGCCTAACGCGAAAAAAACCAATACCATGCATCATATCTCAGCGCAAGAACCTAGAAACGCATACTGTACCTTTTAACGCGCGACAAACAGGACATAGAATAATCCTGAGGCTTCCAATCGGGACAATCCGAGGGATCCCAGTGCTTCCCAGTAGCGTACTTCAACATGGCTTTAGCAGCCTTCTTCTTCTGCTGCGCGTCGACCGCCATCGCCATGGTCGATACCAGCTCAATGAAAAACAATTTCTCACCACTACGATCTCGCCTTAAACACACGAACGAGTTTCGTTTCACGCACAACACTTCCAACCACAAGGAAAAAATCTCGAATAACGAACCGATCTTCAGTTGTAATGATCACGTCGGCTAAATTTATGAGACTAACTGACAACCGCAACACGTCAGATCATAATAAGCAATCGTGAATCATAACTGCGGAACGCGCGCTGCACAAAATACATCGGAAAACGCTTCCGAGTAATTGGGTAGAAAATTACATCGGAGAATGTGAGATTTACCGAAGAATCGACGCCGATATTTGAACTGTTTCCTAGGCTCTGAACACGGTCGGTGCTGTTGTAGTGAGTGACATACTGAAAACACTGTACTATGAAACCTTGATTGTCAGGGGCAATGACAGTGTGCCACCTTCCAGTTCCAGATGATGGAAAACCAAGAGTATATCCGAAACTAAAAAATGCATCTTTCATGAAGTTGTTTGGATTACCGTATTACGTCGACTAACATGGATCAAGGAACTACAGTAGCATGACAAGTGACGTTGGTGATGCGTTCTGAAAGATGTCGAAAATATGTCCTATGGAACAAGAACTAAAGCTTAAATGCAGAAAGGTTCAGAGCAGTTTTCAAGAAATATCTTGAAATGCTGTATAAGCTCCTCTATAAAAAAATACTCTAGTCAACATTGATGCCGTTTGAATAAAAATTTAAGGCTGTCATTTATAAAGCAGTTGAGACTCTTTCATCGTCAAAACTTCGGCTAAAATTCTTTATCGAATTTCAAAAACCCCAGAGCATACTTGATGCATAAACTATGAAAAGTTTGACTGTAACTTTTCTGTTAGAACCTACCCTGAAAATAAGCGGTAAAAACCTGATTTTTCCCTGGGAAACAATATTGTAACTTTACTTCTTTGCTCATGACGCGTGCACCTTCCCTCGAGCACGGAAAAACTGAAGTGGCAGTTAAAACAAGGCAAGAATCCAATTCCCGAATATTCCAGACGATTGCCAAAAGTTTTCCAGATATGTCACGCACTAAAACAGCTTCCAAGGTTTAAACTCGCAAGAGGAATGAAGTCATCCACTACACTAGACAGAATACGCGCATCTAGCATCCTAAGAACACAGAGTTTTTGTTCGTCAGCAATGTTCCCGGACGCGATTCACGAATCAGCTCCAGCCTCGAACAGGTGTCACAATGACTTTCAAACATGCTGGAAGCTTCTCTCACAGCCTCTTTTGCAAGACGGCAGGAGTAACACAATCGAAAGAACTCTTCGCAAAACAACAAAACGCAACAAACCAACGAACGCGCGAGACTAGACGAAGATCCCAATATCCAAACTAAGTGCACAGAAAATTTTCTCTTAGCCATCAAATTCTGGCGGTCGTTCCACGCACATCGCCACGCCCATTCCTCCACCGACACATAATGCGGCAACTCCTCGGCGGGCGCCGCGGGACCTCATGGCGTAGACAAGAGTAGTCAAGATCCTTGCACCTGTGGAAAATTAAATTTAGAACCATTCAACCCAATCTTGACAGTACAATTAAATACTGTATACGTAAGGAGAAAAGTTTTAAACATTGATTGCTGAGGTTCTATGGTCTTTCGGTGAATACTCAGGATGCATGCTCAGGTTTCCGGATATTCAAGTCAATGGGTTCCACTTATTCAGGAGGAGGGGGGAGGGAGACAGAAAAAGAGACAACAAATGCAACAAACCAGAGGCGCCGAGAGGATGCCCCAAAGCAATCGCACCGCCACAAATGTTCACCTTCTCCTCTTTCAAACTCAAGTCACGAATAACAGCAAGACTCTGCGCGGCAAATGCTTCATTGAACTCGAACAAATCCACGGAGTCGGTGGTCCAATCCGCTTTCGAAAGCTGAAAAAAAAAAAGTCTTGATGCCTCTTTATAAACAATTGGGAAACGTATCGTGAAACAGCCAGGCAATAGAGAAACCTATGAATTCGTGGCATACATGTGACTTAGTTTTGAAGGCATTTCTTAAACATAAGTGATACATAACTTGAAATAGATTTGAGAAGCATGGAAACATCACCAGTCTTGTAAGATCTGCAGCATCTTACATTTAGATTTCTTCGAGCAGAACTTGGCTGAAGTCTGGTTAAGGAAACTAGGAACAAAAATTGAGAACCTAATGGTATGCATCTTTAAAACACAAAATTCAAGACGCCGGATTTTAAAATTATCGGGTGTTGGCTAAGGTGTCAGTTTTGGGTTTCCGGTGCAAAATTTCACCAGGCAAGTCGTCAGCAATGACAAGGAAACAGACACGCAAGTCGATTAGCTTTTAAAATTTGTCAAACTGCAAGTCTAATAATCAGATCCCCGTAACACGACTTACAGCTGCCAGAACAGCAGGAACAGGAGCGATGCCCATAATCTGCGGATTAACGCCGACTTGCGAGTATGAAACTATCCTTGCCAAAGGCTGAAGTCCCCGCTTACGTGCTTCGGCTTCTTGCATTAGCACACAGAATGCTGCTCCATCATTCAAACCCGTTGCGTTTCCCGCGGTAACGGTACCAGTTCCATCGGTAACGAAAGCTGGTTTTAGTTTTGACAAGCTCTCTGTTGTAGTATTAGGACGGGGGAATTCGTCCATGTGAACTGATTTCCCAGACCCAACTTCCACAGAGATGATCTCGGCATCAAAAACCTCAGTTTTCTGGGCTTTGGCCGCCTTCTGTTGCGAATGCACGGCGAAGAAATCTTGATCATTGCGGGATATGTTCCACGCTTTTGCCACGTTTTCCGCTAAATTATACATTTGGACTTTCAATAAATTGCTAGTCAAGACTTCATGGGAAATTTACTTTGAACCTGTCACGCCCATATGTGTGTCGGCGAGCGGGCACTGCAGGCCATCACTAATCAATGAATCACGAATCGTCACGTCGCCAAATTTTGATGGGTTTCGGGCATACATCGTATGCTCTGCACGACTCATGGATTCCTGTCCACCACAAACGACAACATTTGCGTCACCGGCTCGTAAAGACTGGGCTCCCAACATTATGGCCCTTGAATTAACAGAATCACTTGACACAATGGGATGGACTCAGAAATGTCGCCAATTACGTACTTAAGACCGGAACCACACAACATGTTGATGGTATATGCTGGGACTTCATATGGTATACCAGCTAAGGCTGCGGCTTGCCTTCCGGGGTTCATGCCTTTGCCAGCTGTCAAGGTTTGTCCAACGATAACTTCACTAACTTCATCCATTTCCACAGCAGCTCGACGCAAAACCTCTTTTATGGCGACAGCCCCGAGCTCATGCGCTTCCAAATGACTCAGACATCCAAGGAAGCTACCTGAAAGAGGCAGGGTATTCTAAGCTGGCTGATCACGTCTCAGCAGTAAAGATGAATTACCAATGGGTGTTCTAGCTGCTGCCACAATGACAACATATTCCGATGACATAGTATTGCTTACTGCACGCATCCAGCGGTCTCTTCCTTCCTTCGCGACGAATGCTCGCCCACAAAACACCCACTACGTTTCGCTTCTTCAGAGATACAGCTCATTTGTACGAGTCAACCCCCGCTTTGGCGCACTGGGTCTTCCCGCTTGCAAAGTAAAGGCAGTCACCCTTCACCACTGATAACATCTAAGACCAGAAATTTCCGAGGAAAACGCTGCCTCGAAATGAACCACAAATCCGCGACGGCCAACGACCCTGGAAGAAGCACTAATTGAATTCGATAGAATCAAAATTCTAACTTACACTAAGAGCGATCAATTCCTGACGTTTCCTCAAATTGTATTTACATAAAAACTGATCCAAGAACATACGCTCGGGTCAAAATTATCAACGGATAGTACAATTCCTTGCAAATCGTCGTCACATTCAGATCCAAGAACGCTTTCGCGCTTTCACCTTAGCCGTCGACCTTTAAAACCTAACTGAGGTGCATCCGCGAACTACAGCGCTGGTACGTTAAATCCGTATTCTGTAGTACAGTACGGTTACGCCTGCTGTGAACAGCTGTAAGGGATCCGCGCACGATAATTACGGCTTCCCGATACAGTACTGTACTGTCAATTCATCCAAATTTCGGGTGGGAAATATGATCAACACGTTTTTCCACTACAGTACAGTGCGCATGCGATCGATATGCGTATGTTATTACTGTACATGCAATATATAGATGAATTAATTCATGGAATAAGGGCGGGAGAAGGCCCTGATGACGGCTATGGAGATGTCAGAGATATTTAAGAATAGAATTCCAGTACTGTATTGTATATGGACTGGAACTCCAGTACGGTACTGTTGTTGATCGAGTTTTCCGTCCGCCTTGTAACGTCAGTGCCGAAAGTGATTGCTCAGGAAAGTTCAATGGTCTGGGCAACCTGTGCAGTTCTTCAATGCGTTGCCTGTGAGCTTTCGATTAACGGAAGCATTAATTTAGTGATCCCTCCGACCTTCTTCCTTTAATTACGGAATCGGAGGTTGAGCTGAGGAATGTATCGGTGATGCATCTGGAGCTTAGCAGAAGACACGGGGCAGAGTTTTAGCTATTAGGAGTTCTTTGGTTGATCTGTTGGTTTCGGTGGAATGGCAATTTTGCCACGAAACTACTTTATGGTTGAGTGAAGCGCCATTATTTCCCAACGATGCGGCTTTCATTTTATGATTCGAGTTGAATATCGTACCCGGTTCCGAGGAGTGCAGGTGATCGGGCTCTTGTCGGACGAACTAAGATTACAATAATGCATTTCGCGTCGCAGTTGCTCTGTAGTGATTTCAGTGGGTGTTTATCAACACATGATGTCACATGATGATGTGGTTGATCAAGTTTTTACGGGGTTTAATCATATATTTTCCGAAGTACTTTGATTGCAGTACTTCAAGTTCGAGCGTTCGAGACGTTGACCGGTATGTGTATGTGGAATGCATTTCATTCTATGAATTCCTGAGACGAAATACATGAACGAACCATCGGAATGGAATCAGCTACCGTGAATGCTGATCAAGAGGAAACTAAATTGAAATTCTTCAATGCCTTGTACTGGGCGTGTGCGGTAAGTGAAGCTGAAGCTTAGACAGTGGTTACTTTTGTAGACATTTTTTAGTTTTCATTTTAGCGCCACCCAGTCTCCCTCGATGCTTTGACTGCACCTTTGAGCTCTGGAGTGGGAAGCGTTGTTACAGAGCAATTGGCTGTGAATTCTCGAGCAGGGCTGTCAGATGCAGCCGAGTCAGCTGCCAATGGGATTTTTTGGCAGAACACATCAGGCACTCATGCTGTGACGGATTTTCCAGCTTGTTTGGACCCTGTCCAAAGGGGCCCTGTTCTAGTCACGAGTGATCTAAATGTTCCCTCCGGCTCGTTGAATGCACATCGTAATTCACTCTTTGTTGGTAGTCAAGCACTGACATTTGCTTCTCCTCGGAAATTAAGAAAGTCAAGATTTGTCTATGGCCAACCGAAGGATGTGCCAGTTGGAACGTGGTAAGATGTTTAGCTCTTTTTTTTTATTGTTCGTGCTGGGTTCTGACGCGGATTCAAGTTTTCATGAACGTGAATTTGCTGTAAAGCCTGGATGTTCGTCAGTAGTTACGCTCGTGACCCTATGTTGTGCGGATCAAGTTTAAATTGAAGGACGATTTTCAGTGCTTTTCCGAGGAATGAATGATCTTAAAAGCTAGTAAGACTTAATTTCGGATTTTTGTTTTTGGTCGCTTGCGACTTTTTGAAAATTAGCCTTCGCAGTTTTCTGTTGTTTTAGAATTATGAAAGTCAGCGAGCGCATTTATATCAATTCTTATGTTTTCAACCAAAGTCGTGTCATCATGCTGAAGGAAAACTTCGTTCCCTGACTGATGAATACTGTATTGCACTTTTAGGTGGTTGACTCGTGTGGAATGCTCTAGAGCTGGTGTTCATTGCCCGACTATGGGCGGTATCCATGGTGGTCCCAGAGGAGCTTATTCGATTTGTATGTCTGGAGGTTACGAAAATGTTGACAATTTGTACGATTTCTGGTATTGCGGGGAAGGTGGACGCGATCCCAAGAAAAGTAATGTGAAGGTTAGATAATCAATGGTTAAATGTTGATGCAGAATAATCAGATGGTTCGCTTGTGTGGTAGGCAAAGGATCAAACAAAAGACATGGTATGGACGAGGAATAACGTGTCTCTCAGGGAAAGCTATCTGACTGGTAATGCTGTTCGGGTGGTCCGCGGTTTTTTGAAGAACAAACAAAAGGCTCAGTCCGTGAGTTACAATCCTCCTGTTGGCTACAGATATGATGGTAAGTTCTGAACTGGAAATTGTTCCATTGGGTACCTTCCAGTGCGTCATCTGCCGCGAAATCTGCATATTCATAGTAAATCATTGGCTGTATACGTGAGAGGGGATTCGTGGCTTTTTGTTACTTCAGTAAACCAATTTCTGGCTTCAAACTGTTAGCATAACACTGCAAAAGATCTAATTTCCCGATATAATTTTAGATATGATTGCAATATTAGAGCGCTTTCTGCTGTGTCCCACTGTAGAAACTTTTGATTCCTTTTGGGTCACGTATACTGTACTATATTTTTAAATTGGGAGCCTTTTTTATTCGCGCTGAAAATAAATTCACAAAACAGGGAAGCTGTCTTTTGCGTAGAATTTTATTTATATTTTTCGAAGTGTTCTCTTCAAAGTATGTATGGTCAGCAGGAAGGTTGAGTTTGTCGGAATTCAACCAGGCCACTTATCATACTCTCAACTTCTGGAAAATTATGGGTTCTCAAAATGTACCCAAGCTGGACAATGGAAATGCATACAGTAGTTCATAATGGTGAAAGTTCTACATTATGTAACATGAACATTCCTTCCAATTCATTCTTTGATTCATCGAAGCTGGGAAGTGATTCTTGTGGATTTAGCTGGCGATTCTATCTCGCAAGCACACTATTCTGGGTAGATGACGCACTATCGCAGTATACGCTATCAAAATTTCCCTTAAATTACTGTAAATTTCTGTTCGTTTAATTCACAGGATTGTATCAAGTTACCGAATACGAAGAAATTCGTGGAGCCCATGGATTCGTTGTGATTCGTTATCATTTTGTCCGACTTCAGGGGCAGGAAACGCTGGAATTGTGAATGATTTGAGGAGTCCGTGATTTGTTTTCTTTTTATTCGCGCCTTGTCGTCGGAAAGCTCGTCATCGTCCAACTTATGCTATCAATTTTTTTTTAAATTCCACACTCCAAAGGTCGAGGGAAACGGATGAGTCTCGTGAAAGTTAAGTTGAACGCTGTGCGTGACGGATAGAGTACAACTGATTTACGTAATTTGAAAAGGTTGGGGCTCTTTTGAATTATGTCGTTGAATAGAAAATCGAACCGAAGAATACATATGATTCGGGAAATGCTTGTAATATTTTGACAATGCCGGTGCAATTTTTTCACGTCAATACGAAAAGAGTTCAGTTATGGTCTTTTCATTGTTTCTTTTCTTGTGATCTAAGCTGGTTACTGATTGATTATCATTTGAAAAACTGTTTTTCAGACAACAGAATATATAAAAATGGGTGACAACATCATTGATGAATTCCGAGAACGCCTTGCGGATACGCCGTACGACCTTGAATTATGGGCTGCTGCTTTGAAAGAAGCTCAAAATCGCCCGGTTGATCGCGTCAGAGACCTGTACGAACTCCTGATAAATTATTATCCGACTAGTGGAAAATTTTGGAAAATCTTCATCGAACACGAGGTACATTTTCTCCCTTTTTTTTTCTTCTTCTTTCGACTGGAGTGAACTTGAATACATGCTGTTCTGCAGATGAGAGCAAAAAATTTTGCTCACGTGGAGAAACTTTTCCAGAAGTGCCTCGTTCAGGTCCTGAATATGGACCTCTGGCGGTGCTATATAACGTATATTAAAGAAGCGAAATCGACTTTGCCCACTTATAAGTAAGTGAAAATTTATTTATAATTCCTGAACATCTCAATTTCTTATTCCCGTTATTCTTTCTTTTAAGGGAGAAACTTGCTCAAGCGTACGACTTCGCCCTGGAGAAAATTGGGATGGATGTGAATTCCTTTCCATTGTGGCATGAATATGTTAATTTTTTGAAGTCGGTTGCGGCGCCTGGGGCATATGCAGAAAACCAGAAAATCACTGCAGTTAGGAAAGTCTACCAAAATGCAATCGTCACGCCCATGTTCAACATCGAAACTTTGTGGAAGGAATACATGAATTATGAGCAAGGTATAAATAAAAACTTGTCTGAAAAGATCATCATTGATCGAAGTAAAGACTACATGAATGCTCGTCGAGTTGCGAAGGAATTGGAAATCATGACCAAGGGTCTTAATAAAAATGCACCAGCAGTTCCCCCCATGGGAACTCAAGAAGAAATGAAGCAGGTTGGTACACCGTATTCGTTTTTCATTGCATAATTGCTTTCGACACAATTCTGACTCTTCATGTGTGCCACATTCATTCAACCCTTTTTTTTTTAGACGGAGCTGTGGAAGAAGTATATCTCCTGGGAGAAAAACAATCCACTCATGACCGAGGATCAAGCTTTGCTGACCAAAAGAGTTATGTTCGCGTATGAACAATGTCTACTCTGCTTGTGGCATCACCCCGATGTTTGGTATGAAGCCGCGAGCTTTCTGGAGTCAGCCTCTCGAGTTTTACATGAGAAAGGAGTACGTATTTTCATTATTATTATTAATGGTCTTTTTCCTCTTGTGAGTGCGTTTCAGTCATTCGAAATGCATTTGTAGCTCGTGTTAAGCTTCGTAAGGAGAAAAAAAATTAACAAGGTTTAACGAGTTCGTGGTTGTAGACAGACTTGATCCTTTTATTATGAATGACTTTTTTTCCGGGTTGACGCACGTCTTGTAATTTGTAGGATGCTAAAGCTGGTATCAGTCTCAGTCGTGAGGCTGGACGCATGTTCGAGCGGGCAGTCCAAGGACCCATGAACAAGAATCTGCTTCTTTATTTCACGTACGCCGACTTCGAAGAATCAAGGAAAAATTATGAAAACGCTCACGGAATTTACAATCGTGTCCTGGAGTCGAGGGAATCCGAGCGACACGATCCATCATTGGCGTACATTCAGTGCATGCGGTTTGCCAGAAGAGCAGAAGGAATTAAAGCGGCGAGAGCTATTTTTAAAAAAGTGCGAGAAGATGAACGTGTTTCGTACCATGTTTACGTCGCCTCTGCTTTGATGGAGTACTACGGATCGAAAGACACGAGTATCGCTCTTCGAATTTTTGACCTAGGATTGAGGAAGTTTCCGTCGGTTCCTGGTTATATCTTGGCGTATCTCGATTTCCTTCTTCATCTAAATGGTACGAACCGATGGATTTTTTGTTCAAACCCTAGGAACGCTCGAATTTTGATTTTCACAGATAACGAAGCAACCCGGCAATTCTTCGTCAAAATTTTAGACGACCCTGAACTACCCGTCGCTGTTCGAAAGTAAGACCGCCTTCATATATCCGATCCTGACCTCATGTGAGATTATTTCCTGCATATCTTTTCAAGGGATATTGTATGGAAGTTCATAGATTTTGAACGAAACGTTGGCACACTGGCAGAAATTGATGGAGCCGAAGGAAGATTGTCCAAAGCTACGGTTGAAACGCATCCAGGTAGTATCCCAAGAAAAGCGGAACTACTGATCGATCGTTATCGATGCCATGGTTTATATCCGTGCTCTCCATTGGAACTCAAGTTCGTACTCTTGATTCATTTTTATATGCTTTCACTGTCTCAAAATTACCTACAAATTAAAGACTAATTACCGTACAGTATTGTAATTTTCGCGAATGCTTTTCGTATTCTTTATTGGTCAATTACGTATGCAAACTAAGTTGGAAGAAAGAACAGCTTTCATGAGATACGAACGCCTAGAAAGTTTAAAATCATGAAGCAAGATTATACAGTACAGTATATGGAAATTTTATATAGAACAGTATATAGAAACTCAAATTCGAAAGAGACATTTTTATTCGTTTTGGAAATGGTATTGAAAGCATTAGAATACTGTTGCATATTTCCCGAAAAATTCTGAATTCGGGTATATAAGTTTCTTATATCTTGACTTCGCCTCTCAACTGTCGATCGTTCGAAGAAAGTGTGTGACGGATATGAGTTTACCGTCGCATTTTTTCTGCTCACGATGTAACTTTAATCTCGGGCTTATTTAGGCTTCCGGTGTTTGAGGATATAACTTCACAAAAAAAAATTGATTGTCCAGAAGAATTTGTCACGCAGGTTGACGGTTGTCTTCTCAGCGTAAGCGCTTACGAAAAGTTACTTCTCTGTGGCCGGTAAATTTTTTCTAGCTCTTCGCGTCTCGTAGCTTTACAGAGCAAAATCGTTGTCATTGTTCGTAAAAAAAATTTTAAAATTCATATCAATTCTTCATGTTAATGTTAGAATTTTAGTCGGGCGGAAAAGTGAGTCGAATTTTATCCATTTTCTTCAGAACCATGGGATACCATGGGACATCTAGCAGTGATCGCCGTGGGGGAGAACTTCTCGAAACCGAGAACGAGAAGAACGAAATTCCGCTGCCGGATGTTTCTCAAATGCGACCGTTTAAACCCGAGTTTCATTGGTCAGCCAGAACGCATTCTGTTCATGACGCCGTCCTCGATGTTCCCCCGGTGGCTGGAGATTTTTGCAAGAACTTGCCCCCGTGGCATTGCTTTCCTCCAATCGCTGTAGACGTGGAGAAATTGACGAAGTTCATCAGTGAAACCATTTTTCATCCGGTCAGGAAGCCTTTGAATCTTCGCAAAGATTCCGCAACACCAGTGACTGTAACCCCGCGTTTGTTCGATGTGGTGAGGAAAGTTAATTGGGACTGGAGTGCCGTGTTGGAGAAATCCGGAAAGGGTGAAGCAGAAGATGTGGACGCGTCGAAGGAGGGTGGGAGGAATGCGCGAAGACAGCCGTTGGGTAAGAGACGAACAGCGAGGATTGTGCAAAATGCGGATTCGGATGACGAAGAAAACGCGAATGTTGCACCGCCTTCCACTGACGTTTACCGACAGCGGCAGCAGCGGAGGTTGATGGCCATGCGTTGAAATTGAAAGGATTTTTTCCCCATCGTTGGCGGTACATATGTATGTTCCGTACTGGATGTATGCGGTTTTTTTTTATTGTCAGGAATCATTTGTCCGTAAATTTTAATTAAAGGATCTCCGGGAAGGAAAGAAAAAAGAAATTGACATTGACTTTTTCATTGTCCACGGGTGAATTTTCCATTCCCCGCGGAAATCGAAACTTCGGTAAGTGTTCCACAATCGCCCTCATCTGTTTTGCTTTCAGGTCTAAATTGCTCACGTTTCGTATTTCTCCTTTTATAATCCAAACTAATGATTCAATGAATTTTCCCGGATGATCGAATTCTATGTTGGAACTGTAGTGGAAAACTTTTATCAACTCATTTGACGATTTTACACACATTCCTGCGATTTAAAATAATCAGATTAAAATAGCCTTTAGGAGCCACCATGATAAGTTAATTTTTTTTAATTATAATTGGAAAGGTTTGCTCACCCTTCCTGTCACTTAATCGGGCTGTCCTGATTACCGTACATTAAGAAAAAGCCGTTTGAATTGTTTCATCAGTCCAGTGGGAATCATATTCTCGTTTGGTTTCTTAATCATTGGGGTTGCTTTCATCTCCATAGTGAAACCAATGAAGGGCATTGTTCCCATTGTGACGTTGTTCTCATTGTTCCGGAACGCAGATTATATCGGCCATTGTTTCTAGCGGATGAGCCACTGACTGAAGGTCAAGGAATTGATTCTTTGTTGGAAATCTGGTGTTTTTTTCAATATTTCCTGTGTACATTTTAATCGCGTTAACCGTGAAATGATATGGCCAAGCAAATTGTTGATGAATCTAATGAAAAAGAACGTGGGCGACGATGCTCTTTGAGTTGGCAAGGTACCGTATATGCAGTGTTCATACAGCATGTCCAATAGATTACGGTCATTCTAATATGTGTCTTCTTCTGGAATTCTTTTTGAATTATGGGTTCGGATGCATGAAGAACTGCATCGAATTTTTTTGTCGAACATTTTAAAATAAAAATTATTCAAAAAATTATTTAAATGTAACATGCATTTAAAATAAACTGATGAAGTCCTTACTACTTTTTGAATCCTGATCAGAACACCGATTCTAGTAAACATGAAGTTTCAGAAGTAGTTCTAACTGGGAGTGGCAGTGTAAAAATCAAGAAGAAGCTGAAATCCACCCCAAAAAAAAAACAGTTCTTTATTTTGACGTGCAGGAAAGTTCATCGTACTTCCAGGAATTGAAATGGCTCACTTCACCTTTATTTTTTTACGCGTGTGCTATAACACTTGAACTTTTTCCGATGTCTTTATTTATTTAAACTTCTGAATATTCCCCTCGAGGTTGAGTAGTGGAAGCAAATTCATTTTTTATGGCTGCTCGTATTGGAAATCGCGTTGAATTTCCAGGATGGCAGCCGCCGAAGATGTACGAAGCAGGACCTCGCGATATACGACACACTTTAACCCCTATTCTTCCACCGGCGTGCACGTTCACGCCGGTGGAAACATCACGTCCTCTGAAAGTAGATGAGAAGTATCCGGAGTGCATGGACGTCGTTGCTGACTTCTACCGACGACCGCCCCAGGAGCTGGTAAAGGTTCGTAATGTACTTGGATTTCCTTCGCGATAACTTGATGAATTCATGCCTTGCCGGAAATGCATTTTTGAGGCTTCGTGAGTTGGTAATGGTGAACTGTGAATGACGGAAAAAATTGGTGTACTTCACCATCGGATATTATCAGAGAGCTCTGAAAAACTCGTATCTACTTCAGTGGAATTCGAAGACATGAAGTTGAATCCCGCATGGATATTTTATATTAATGGAGGTGGGCGTTTCGGTGACTTGACGCGAAGACTGTACATCAGTGTTCTGCAATCCGCGGTTCGGCGTCGGTCTTCGAGAAATGCTGTTTATTACAAAGGGAATATATTACGTCTCATACAAAATTATACGTTTCATACTTTTTTGCAGTTGAAAGAATGGGATCTCATTTTTGTTATCGTATTACAGTAAACACAATGAAGTCACATTAGCCAGCCGTCTGTCAGCCCAGAAAGGTTGGGGAACACTGATGTGACAGAAAATTTAAATTGTATACAGCACCAACAAAATAAAATAGCTTTGTAAGACAGAGATTGAAGGAGGGAGGGGCTCTATCAAAAGAGATACTGCTATTCATGAGAATATTTTCTCGATTCAAAGAAACGAGAAAAAAAACAGTACACTTTACCTTATTTACTCGAAAAATGTTCGTGATCATGATTCATGAAATGAATCTCAAAAAACTTTTCAACCGCTTCTTTCAATGCGAGTCCTAAGGAAAAAATTATCGTGGATCGACGTTGGGCCGTCTAAATTTAAAATTACTGCAAGACAGATTAGTTGTGTATTAGAATGGAGGAGATCGAAAATTCACGGATTCATTCTGAACTGATTTCTTGCATTCGACGAGTTCGTGAAATTTACGCGAGCATTCGACCAGAATTTCCCACATCATCCCTGGCAGTGACTCGCAGTACCCTAGTGTATTTTTCTGAGGTTATACAAATTAAGATGTCATTTTAGGTGAAGAAAGTGGTTCCGAATAATTTTGTAGTCCTCAAGTTTTTGCTCATTAAATTATTCAAGAGCTTCGAACTAGGTTACCGAAGATCCGAAGTGAGCTTCCGCAATAACCATTTTTAGACGAATGTGCGTGTTTTTAAGTCCAGTGAGACACAATAGTTTCTTCAACCTTTCGAGCTTCCTTGAGAACTTTCTGGTAATCGAGGAAATCTTGCCAACGATTGGGATCAGGAACTCCTGTGCTAACCGTTGTTTCACTGAAGCGAAACTATCCTACCAACCCTTGTGCGATTTTCTGTTGTCTTTAAGGGAAATATAATTAATTTAACGCCGGAAGCTGTTGGTTTTCCCGACTTCCGAGATGTCCCCGAAATTGAGTACGACGAAGTGGAAGAACCCGTCAAGGTCGAGGGTAACAACCGTGCGTTGTCTCGGGGAAAGAATATGCCGGGGAGGATTGTGAACGTCACCGAGCTGATCGGTAAAGGTGTCTTGTCAGTTGCCGGATTTCATCACAGGGAACATGAAAAGAAGAAGGGGGACATCTTGTCTTACAAACCCGCATCACCTGGTCAGGATGAAAATGACGAGGACACAGTATCAGACGAAAGTTCTCGAACTGAGTGATGAGTTTCTTTCGTGTCCGCGTTTTGTGAGAAAGAAACATGGTGGAATAGTTTTTTCGGCTTACGATGATTATGAAATTGCGGTAATTGCTTTTCTATTACGATTATTTTTATTGCAAACCTGAGCTGTCGGAAGACTCCTCTATAGCCCTTTATGCAGTATTGTGAAGATTTCATTCAAGTAACGTGACCTAATGCCTAGCTAACCTAACCTGCTGATGCATGTTCAATATGCCTCATTGTATCCATAATTTTAAAGAAAAACTGCCTGCGTTTCGCAAGTACAGTACTGTGGTGTACCTCAATTGAAACAGAGGCCTGCGACCTCCACGAACCAGATTTTTATGTACAGTATTTCGGTTAGGCTACTAACAGGGTTCCGTTTAGTTGACTCGTTAGATGCTTGAATTTTGGGCCAAAATCGTGCTGCGAACACAATTGTCTTTTCACTCAATGAGATTTCAATCTATGTCGGTGAGTTTTATATTTGTCAGGTTCCGAAGTAGCCTTCGCTTCTTTCAAATTCTTGCTGGTACAAGATCTATAGTGACTCGTTGAATTATACGCTTGAAAGCGAGTGTTGACTTGATTTATTCGGAAAGCTCCCTATAAGTTCCACCTTGATGCATGTTGACGTCGTCCTCGGGCTAATCATTGTCAGCATGGGGTGATGATCTTGAACGGCTGTGAAACGATCCTTGGTGACCTTTCTAGGGGAAAGTGACGAGGCAGAAAATCTTTCCTGACTTGGTATGTCCTGAATCTTGGCAAAATCCCGGCTTATTTCTCTGCGAGTCTTTTTTCAGATCATAAAAACAACAGGTCTGCAGAGTTTCGTCGAAAATTATTGAATTCTTACTGTGGGCGTGTATCGTTTCTGAATTTATTTTCGTGTTAATTTACCCAGTATTGATGCGATCGGTGATTTATTTTCGAATTTCTTGGAATGAGAAGTTCAATGCAAATTTTCAAATCGAAACCTTTCTACATCACTCTCACATAGTCAACCCAGTCTTCGTCATTAATTCGTTATAGTCATTATGTAGCTGACATGGAGGTTAATTCTGTAGAGGAATATTTCTGAGGAGAACTTGCCATGATTAATACAGCGGATATGATTTTCTTACGTAGGAATTAATTATAGCATTGTTGAGGTGATGTTTGGATGATGGGCAAAGTACTGCATGATACAGTGCACCTTATTTCCTTCACGGGCTTTTTATTCCCTCAGGAAATGCAGTATATGTAGTGTAGTGTGAAACTTTCGCACCAACCTCAGCAATAACTCATCCTCTCAATAAGTCAGGGGGATATACTGTATATACAGTATAGGATATGACTGTACATGCAGTATACTGCACTGTATATACAGTCAAATCCACTTGATAGGATTGCATGCGAGTGACAGTTAGTATGCTGCTCGAAGTTCCCCGCGAAATATCCCAGCTATACAGTACATGCAAACACATTCGCAAATTTTTGGGGCTTTTTTTCAGTTTCTAGGGCAATGCGCACAGCCCACAGGTGTAGCAAAAAGAAATGCTCGTTTATAGGGTACCAACGGTTTCCTATTCAGTATATACAGGACATTATACAGTATATGTACCATTACGGGTTGACCCTGCATGTAGGCAACTTTTTATAACGCGAAGTAAAAACTGAAGCATCAATTGCAAATTTACGCCTTTTCAACAAAAAACTGCATCCCGACTATCTCGCTTTGAATTGTATCACTTAGTTGAAAGGGAAATTAATTTATTTATTGTTCTCTGATGATAAAGGCATCACACTCATGATTTTAGAAGAAATTTAACTAATTCCATCTGCATGGTCAATTCGATTTATTTAATGGATGGTGGCACAATATGCGCACGCAACCTTCGTAAAACTGAGATAACAGGGAAGTACCAACATTTTTTTTAGCAGATTCAACGGGTTGCCTTGCATGTATTATTTAAGCTCAGCCAGAAATATATATCTCTTATACCCTCGGTATCTTCGACTTTTCCTTCGGTATTCCGTTTTTTCTAAGACTTTCTCTGGGGATAATAACAGATCGTCGTAAGTATATAGTCATCGCTTTTTTATTTGTTCGTGAACAGATGGCGCCACTGTCCTCAATCGTTCTGCGTCATGGAGCTGAAGAAACAGTGTAAGGGCAGTTCAGGTGCCTCGCCAGATGGTTGAGTGCGGAAATCTGATCTTGCCGATGGCGAGGTCGTGAGCTTTGGTGTTACGGAGTCAAGCATTAACCTATCATGAATTTCTTGCAATCTGAAGTGTGGATAGCAAACGGGTGCATTTCGGAGTCCTGAAGCGCTACAGAAAGTAAATTTTCTGTTCTTGAGATAATTTTCGTGAAGATTTGAAGAGGAAGTTGAAACGCGATTGATACGCTCTACTGGTGATAAGTTATCGTTGACTTCTTGACAGAATGCCCATGTTTCGCGTGTATTTTTAATTCGTTATCTCGCTCTAGTATCTGCGTGGAGTGAGATTTCGACGTTCGTGTACTCCTCGTTTCCACAGTGTGAGAAAAACAAGTCCTTCGTGAAGAAAAGATCGCGCTCGTTATTTTCGTTATTTAGTGCATACTTAATTGAAGGAATCTTCGGATGGTGCATTGACCGCGACGAGTTCGTCAGAAAGTTCCGCTGGCTGACTCGATCGACGGATGATTTCCGTTGCTTCGTTGCTGCGAGTATCGCGACTTGTTGTTAGAGCCCGCTTACTCGCCTTCCCTAACCTTGAACTTGGGAGGGTCCCGTTTTAGGTGCCTTTGTCTGTTTAGGTTCACGAGAGCCTCAGGCCGGACAGGATTTCCATATTCTTGTCGGATGACCTTGTACCTGTCCGTTAGATCCGGGAACGTTTTGGCCAAAACTTCGACGGAACGGAATTCATAACTTCAGGTGTGGTGGTGCTCTCCTGAGAGTAGTATATTTCCGTTGCTCGTAACTGTGCAGTGTACTTTAAAAAAAACTTTAATTGGCTCATAACATTTCTGCATCGAGCTGCTAGCTTCGGATGATGTTGCAACATGAAGTGTACCGGAGTAGCATTGACCTAGAAGCCCGACTACACGCCTGTTATTCCCTTTACCCAATAGCCTCATTCCTTGCCACTTTGATTGGGACATTCGCAATACTGTCTTGAAACAATGGGAGGGTTTCAAATGCGGGGAGTGGATAAAAGGTACGAAGGAAGGGAAGGAATGGAGGAAAGTCCATTGCGTGCCCGGGAGCGTGAGCCACGGCATGTAAGAGAGTGAACGCGGTTTCGAAACGTTTCAGTTGTGAGATTTCTTTCGTATCTTTCGGTGTTGCCGTGCCGTTGGTGGTGAGGAAGGTTGTGCTCGCCCTCGCGTTGTAGGAATTTTTTTTCATCGTTCGTTCTTTTGGTTAGGTTGTGTATTTTTATGGTGTGCTGATAAGACGGAAGCGGAACCGCGTGAATTACCTTGCGGAGAACAACCGTAATGAGCCGGATAGCTTCCTGATTGGTGGATCCCTCTTACATCTGTGCCGGCGTGGACGCGCGCCACCGATAGGGTCATGAATGAAGAGGTTCAGAATTATCCTAGCCAAGGGAAACACAAGCTTAAACTGGGACTGATAAAGCGAAAACCGAAGCGTTCCTCCACGTCGGCTTCTATTGAGAACGGAATGACTTATTCACGTTCTTCAGCGGATTTGACGTCACCCGCGTCTGTGGTGGACGGCCCGGGCTTTCCAGGAATTTTAACTCCTCCTCGAACACCCTCAGCTCCTGGTTCAATCCACGAAAGCAACGTTGATGTACCAGTCCCAGTGTGCGATCACCCACACGATTGGAAGGAAGTAAGTGTTCGACTTATCAATGCACGTTTTTCAGGTCTAGAGGTTTTCAATCCCGTTGATTGGAGAGTCTATTCTTAAGTATATTTTCATTGCCGAGCCTCTAGATCGAAATATTTTGTAATGCTTGAATAGTTCGTTCATATTTCAGACGATATCCCGAGAGTTTATGATCGACTGATGTCTTGAGGATTTTCATTTTATTCGAATCGATTGTTCTTAATTTTTTTTTGTTATTTCAAGCTCTTCATTGCTTATTTTTTATTCAGGAACATTCTAAAATACGTTTGCCTGTGTTCCAGTCGAAGTGTATTAAGTCAGCGGTTCCCTAAAATGTCAAATGTAGGCGTAATCTTGTATATTAACAAGAGGCTTCAATAACGAATGAAAATTGTTCTTGGGGAAACCCCGAAGTGACTCATGAAACTCTCGTTTTCTTCTGCCGTGCTGCTTGCGTAAAAAATAATCTCCGCCGGGGGTTTATCAGAAGAATTCTGTGATCGAAGCGGCTTGTTTAATTCATGAGGTATTTAAAACAAAACCGCATTCAGCGTCATCGGTCTTGAAGAAGATAAAAAGTATAATTTTAGTCTTCAAACGTGGACAGATTATGTAAGAAGAACTGTTGTAATCATCTTCTGTTAATGGTAAATATCTCGTGAATGCGGTTAGCAGCAGCATGCTCATTCATTTCAGAAGCTAGTTTTTTTTTTTAATTGCCGGGAACTACTTCATTAGCCGGCGTCTGTTAATATAATCTCGGGGGTACTGGACTTCATTACGGAGTTTAAAATGCCACACGCCGCAAAATCTTACTGCGAATGACCTGATTTTTTTCGTAATGTCGTTCCTTTTGTTACTCGGTCTGGTGTATATTTGTGCTGACGTAACCCAGCGTACCAAATGTTATTCCTGTGTAACATTTGTGGATTTTTTTTTTCGTCAGCTGAAACTCATTGTTTTCTCTGCCGCCAGATGTCCAACGTCACCGTAAACATTCCCATCAGCGAGATTTTTGATCTGATGTATGTCGGCTCGAAGTATTTGGTCAAGTTTCTTGAAGACAGAAAAACCACGGACCTTTGCATTGGTCCAATGAGCACTCAGAGAGATGGACTGCGTGGGAGATCGTCTACATTCACGGTTCCCATCGGAGCTGGAGCGACAGCGAAAATGACGCAGGCAAAACACATTTTTTCATCTCGCGCTATTCAGTTAACGCTTAAAATATGGGTTGACTTTTAAACCGAGAATTAATGTTTTTTACCTTTGATAACCTGATCGAGTATATGCTGAACGACGTAATTATGTAAGTTCTGGTTGTAAACGTGGTTGTAAATATGTTTTCCTCCGCTTGGGGTGAATATCCCTAAAGATGCAGTTTTATTACCATGATATTTAAAGCCCCGCGTCACGCGTTCCGAGGTTTATGTTCATATTTATATTTAAGCAAGAGTTACAGCATTCAGCGAGTAACGTTTCATCAATTCATTCTTCCTTTATGACCCTGACTTTATGGAATCATTTTTCAGAATGAAACTTGGCGAGCATGCACAAATTTAACCGCCGGACTTCATGCGACGGATATAGAAATTCTTTCTGCCGGTGTTCCCTATGCTGATTCGTACACAGTTCTATTGCATGTTTGTGCGAGAACTATTGGACCTAATCGGTCGGATTTCCGTATTTGGGCCAAGATCAATTACAAGAAACAGGTTCGAAGTGTCTTCAATTATTCACTTGGGTTCAACCAGTTTTTTGGTGGGATAAAGCTGCAAATGCTTGTCTCGCGATGTCAATAAGATAGCGATAATGGACGATGGGAATAACTTGGACGGTGTCGTAACGCCGATCGAATTATCGCGATAATATTATTTTAAGCTATTGTGACCATGAGAAAGCCTTTTTTTGCTACCAAAGTGACGTTCATTATCTGTGTTCAAAAGAAAAGTTTCTCACTTTCGATTTTAAACTTCGCTGTGTCATTGCTTCGAGGTCATCATGCGTTGTTTTGTTTTAGATTTTGGTCATTCCAGACTGCCAGCATGAATTATGATTCGTTTTTCTTTCAGTTTTTTACATCCAGGTACATTCTTGCCGTAATTTATGCATGAAGGATGTTGCCTTATGTAAGGTTTCCTCAGTACAGTATTCATGAAGTATGTGTTGATATTCCATAGATTTCTTTTCTCTTTTGCAATTCTTATGCAAACAACCTTGTTAATGGATTGTTTCGTGATTGAAAATGTAAATCTCTTCAGGAGAGACAGGCGATGAGGTATTATTAATTAGATGTGGGACAATCAAATTATTTAGGATTTTCGCCTAAATTAATATTCTCAGCTTGTGTAGTTCCTTTTTCCAAAATCCTGAGCATCCGGTGTTCGTTCGTTTGAGTTTGTGATCTTGAAATTCTTCCATTATTTCAGGTATTCAGGCTTGCAAAAATGGCGATAGAAAGTTTAGTGTGGAGACAAGTAGGGCTTTTCTATGGAGGTATGGGACCCGCAGTAGAAGAAGCTGCGCGGATGTCTCAAGCCGAACGAGATTCGTGGAAAAGCGTAGTATTCCCCCTTGAAGACTCACCTGGAAGTCCATCAGCTTCAGTAGCTCCATCAAGTAATAACACAACGTCGTCGACACCAACGCTCGGCCCAGTATACCATGAAACGCCTCGCGTGGAACGCGTTGCAGCCGTCACGCCTGCCGTGATGGGCACTGTTACTTCGCTTCCCGTGCCGTATTGGTGGATAATGGTGCTTTTACTTTCGCTTACTTGGTTGAATGCTTTCATGGTTGCTCGCTTGTTTACGGCCCCTCCGGATCCGGTTGGCAGCGTCGTGGCTCCTCTGGGTACAGCCGTGGCGCCGTTTCCTCATCAGCATATGGTTGACCGCGGCGTGTTGTCCAGCTATCGTCGATTTGCCGATTATCAAAAGGATTTTCGGAAGTCACAGGTACCAGTCACACTGCCAAATTTGTACTGTACATCCGTAGCACATTATTCTGTGCAGCGATTTTCTCGCTAAAATGAACTTTTTTGGTCCTTTCATATCTCGAATAGTACCTGATTTTCCAGGAATTTAATTAATGCATCAATTCTCTCCGGAAAAGTTGGCCTGAACTTGTTTGCGGTGTGTATTACATATTTTCAAATTACTGTACTGTATTGTAATAAGTTCGGTGTCCTGGATTCACTCCCAGCAATGTTCGAACGAATTCAATTATTTTTCTTGTACAGTATTAGGATGCGGCCAGCGTTTTAGTGAGTTCGATAAAGTTTAGAAATCCTCTCTACGAAGGAATTATCTTACTCTTAATTAATTATCTTAAGACATTGATGAAATATTTGTTGGTCCCCTGATAGTCTTTGTTGAGTTTATCTCTACTTACTCCACAATTAATCAGATGTAGATGTTTGCCCAAAAATGGTCTTCGACGTGTTCGGGCTAAAAGAAAATTTCGATATTCCTGGAAATTTACAGGTTGTGAATTCAATTGATTTTGTCCTTATATTTGGAAACGATATTTATCCGTTTTATACTGTACTTTCATAGTTTTAATTGTATTCTATATGGAACTTCCATTTTGTTTTCAAATTAAATATAGCTTTTTTCGCTTTTTCGAAGGTGGTTTATTGGAAGCGGGTTGCGGATATGGCGGAAGAATTATTGCGAGAAGCGGAAATGAGTTTAGAATCGTTGGACGAACCAGGGGAGAGAGCAGAAACCCCAAGTCAAAAAGCCCCTGTCAAAGAACCTCCTGAAACCTGATGAGAAAATGAAATGAAGAACAAATGAAAGCCCGTGGAACGATAAGTATGATGCAAACAAGGGGATTCAACTTCGCGTTTCTCTCTCTTGTGAACTTTTTTTGAAGTCATATGCACGATTTTTTATTCGGGAAATTATAGTGAAGCGTCGTTCAAAGCTGTGTTGTCAAGGGAATGCTCCATTTGTAACTGGGGGAAGTTACTTGTATCCTTTGAGCTACTGATGTGATTGAATGGGGAGTTTTTATGAAAGCGTGAACAAATATTGCCATGCCTTCCCCTTTTCTTTTTTTGAGTGAAGTGGAAATATTGTTATCACACTGGATTTCCAAAATGAGTTCTGAATTCTCGAGACGCACGAATGGGTTTTTCGGTTCGGGGTACTATCAAGGAAATCCGCGTCGGGAGAGTGTGTTCCGCTGATTGTTTCCGTAAAATTTACATGATCGGAGGAATGTGCGATCGTAGGTAATTCTGAGCAGTTGATGGTCTCGGAATGCTCATGTGAGATGATTCGAATGATATTTCCAAATTTGAGGGCTGTTGAATTTAAACCCCACCTGTATTGTTTAGAATTGGTGCGCGGATTTTGCGGGTTTCTTCTGTTCCCTTCCGAAAATGATAAACAAAGCAAGTTTGCGTTGCATTTTGTCCTACTTTCTGTTGAAAACGAATTGCTTGCCTCTTCGGTCTTCCTGATGCGGTTGTTGACATTTCAACACAAGCAGCTAAGGTATAATTGGAGAAATTGGACTCAAGGATTATGAAGTGCGGAAGAAGCGTTCCAGGTGAGGGCTCCAACTACTTGAGATAAATCAGATTGGCACCGATTTCTTTGGCAGTCCGGGTAGTAATACCCAAGTGGATGGATTACTCTACGCTTGTTTACCAAGCTGAACTTCTTGACGAGGTTATGAAGTAAATTAATATTGTTCACTGCTCATGAAATGTTAGGAATGCTATGCGGGTACACTGCTGATGAGTGATGGATATACTGTACTGTAGAAGTGTAGATAATAAAAGTTTGATGACAGTAGAGAAAGTCACACTAAAGAAAAATTTCTTCTGAACTCAAGAAAGCTGCGCTGAATTTCTAGTAGTTGACAGAAATCATCTTTAATAATTTACCAATGTGTCTTCCTTCTGATGAATGAATCAAGTTGATCTGTTCCATTCCTGAAGCAACGCAAGTGATGCATGGAAAGAACACCTATAAGGAATGCAGTGTACTGTACAGAACTAAGTTTCCTAAGCTAAATCAATATTCTATTGTCTACTGGATACTTCACAATACAGTGAGACCCCCACATGCAGACAATTTGACATAGGGACACTTATTTCCCTGTAAAAATTAATAAGAAGGTCCAACAATGTGGACACTGACTCAACATAGGGACATTTTATGATAAAATTGCAAATGAGTTTCAGGCCATAATTACAAGAAATAGATATTTCCAATCCTAAAATTAATGTAAGAAAAATTCTTGGGCATTTCTCTCACCAATTTACCATCCATTTAGCTAATTAAAAAATTACCTCCAGCATAGAGGATCTTAATTTTCTCTTTTTCACTTGAATGTTATTTTTGCAGAGAATGCCAACATTTCTGTGTAATGTAAAGAGGTATCACTATTCAATTCCCCAAATGTCCATATTGTGCTGAAATATATTGATTGAATCTGTTTCAATTTGGAGATAATTTTTATGTTCATGGAATTATGGTGAGTACTTTGTACAGTACATGAAACAATAATTAAAAATTATGTACTGTAATGTAAGTCTAAGGGAAAGTGAGACTCAACTTGAATACATTTCAACTTAGGGACACTCTTGATGCACCAATTATGTCTGCATCTTGGGTTATCACTATAATATGTTCAGTTTTATATGGATTATACATATGGATTTGTTCAATTCAACCACCAGAATTTTTCCTCTCCGCGTGCCTATAATCAATGGATGCATCGTTGGGCGATCTTTCTCTCTGAGGTGTGTGCTTAGTCGGTGAGTCCACACTATGATACAACGCGTGGAAACCCCCCGCGTTTCTGTTCCCGGTTTAATAATCCGCAGAATTGTGATTGTCGAAGAGTTAAAGAGCGTCGTGGAATTGGCAAAATTTGGGTAGAATGGTACTGTAGATGCAATGTTATTTAGGCTCATAATGAATTATATTTCAACTTCACGCATTCTGTGACTTAGCCGGAGAATAATCTGCTGCGATATCATGCACTGAATTCTCACTCCCGAAGGCCAGTTCATCGGTCGCTTCCGTTTGATGCACGAGTGGCACGTGATTCAATTTTGTTGACTGAAATGTGGTTTCGTTCAGGATGATTCGTGAGTGAAGACGTCATCGGTAACGTCGCATGTATTGCAGCAGACCATGCGCGCCCCATCTGTTAGAATGCGTAATAGTGCATCCTCAAAGGATGAACCCGTCATATGGACTAGGTATGGACGCAAGAGAAACGCGCAGTTTCCGTGGAGTTAAAAAGCTAATTTTTGTTCATTTATAGACCGGCTGCAGCTCCAGGAACACTGTACGGAGCCCTGTTACCAATCTGCCTTCTGTCGAGTTATTTTTCCCAACGTGCTGCCCGTGATTCTGCGGTAATGCAAACATTTCTGATCTCAGCGTTGCTCTTTTTATGGACTCTTTTGGAAGCCAACAAAACTTCCCATTGGATTTTTTCGTATCTTCAGCGCCGTCTTGTTGCGTTCGGATTAATCATGGCATGCGTGTCAGGTTTGGGAAATAATTTCTGCCACCTTCTACGCACTAACTTGCACGAAGACTGTACCCCTCAGGTGACATGGATTTTTCCGCTGCGCTTCTGGTTGGAGTTGTCGGCTATTTGATTCTTATGAAAGAGTTCAGTTCCCCACCTGTGGCTGGAAACTTTTCCATTGGAGAACGATCGCTTGTATCTCAAGGATTTGCGTTGTTCCTTGGCTCCTGTGTGAAGAACGCTCTTAGCTTCTCGAGAATGGACTTCGGTAGAAGTGGACACCCGAAGAAAGGGAAAGAAATGTGGGAGGTGAACACAATTTCTCAAGTGAGTGAATCAATGTTATGCATTGCTTCCACAATATATCTTACTCTTGCGTCATTACAGATCATCGGATGTTTGGTATTGGTAACCCTTAGTTTTACTAGACTACTCGGAAAATCCGCATTGCGAAACAGTTTTTTTTTATTGAGTTTAATGGCTGGCGTCATTATTTCGTGGGTTTTCATCGAAAGCAGAGTCCTGCATGGTTCTTTGATTGTCTGGTTTATGGACATCATGATGAACATGCCGGAGAAGGTTAGTAAGAAGTCCGTTTGTTCATGTTCAATCATTGTTAATTTACGATTTCGATTCCGAACAGGTTCAAATTCTGAAGCTTTGGACTGGCTTGCTCGTTTCTACCGTAGGATTCGCGATTGCATCCGGATTGTTGAAAAGTTCCAAGCGTTCCGCTACCCAAACTATTGAGAGAAAACTATTCCACGTAGCTATTTCACTGGTTTTCATACTAGGAGCTCGAATGGATCCGTTACTTTTACATCTGGCGTCTTCGCTATTATTCTGGGCTTTTCTCGTCGCTGAGGTTTGTACCACTGAACGGTGCTCTGTATTTTTATCTGTCTTCTCTCTTCAGCTGCTACCGATGCATTGATACAATTTTTTGGACCTTGCTGATGAACTCGGTGATAACTGTACCAATACTACATCAGCAGTGTTATCCGTGTTGATTTTTCGTAAGCCTGGCTATTAATGGTCTTTTTCTGAAATTTACATCTTTTAAATTATGTATCAAGTACTATTCGTTTTGTCCAAAGAAGGAAAATTTTGGATTACAATACCGTATTTAGAGGTGTTGAACCAAAGTAAAAAAGTGGCTGATTAGATCAAAATGAAAAGTTTGAATTATTTCACAATTGAAAATTATTTCAGGCAAACCTTGATAACTCAAACCTCCCTAAGTCAAAGGCTTCTCCCCTCAAACCTCCATAAGTCAAAGGCTTCTCCCCTCATACCTCCGTAAGTCAAATTATCTGTCGCCTGTTGGCTATAATTTTTTGACACAAGAAAGAAAAAAGCAATGGAAACAAAAATTTCTGTGTTTTTAAGGGAAGTGGAAGACTTGATTGGGCAAATGAACCCCTGCCTCCAAGTTCAGCTTCCTTTCAACTCACTTAAGAAGCAATTTAAGCCTCAGAATATCACCATATACAATTTTGGGCAATTTTTCTATGTTTCTCAGAACAAAAGGGCTTTGTATTGTACCTCAAACCTCTATAATTCAAAACCTCCCTTAGTCAATTTTCTTTTGCTGGTCCCTTGAAATTTGATTTGGAGCAGTTTGACTGTAATTGCTCCAAGGAAGTCTTGAACGTCCTTCAAGTCCTGATATTTATGCATCTTTATCATGCTTCTTTGTGCAGTTATTGTTTGTGCAGCTCATGTGCCCTTCACTGCTCTTGGATTATTCCCAGAAATTGCTGGGTATTCCTTCAAAAATCCACATTTATTTCTCATGAAAGCTGTAATATGTTTGTCATAAAAAGGTTTTGTTTTAAAAGAGTAATTCAATCATTTGAATTACTTGACCAGCAAACTCATTTCTCATTTTCCAGGCCTTGCGTGTGCTGAATGTCTGGCCATTCTCAGGAATACTGAATGCCGCCTTCCGTACATTTTTGGATGAAAAGGATTTATCTGGACCTTTAACGCTTACCAACATATATCTGCTTGTGGGATGTGCTGCACCCTTGTGGTTGTCAACAATCACATCTAGCCATCGCCCATTGGCTGAATTGAATCCATTCACATTGTTGGCTGGGGTACTTTCTGTGGGATTTGGCGACACTGCAGCCTCCGTCGGTGGATCTTTGTTTGGTTCTCGGAAGTGGCAAGGTCAGATAAAATCATTCTCTTCCCGTCAAACATTTTTGTCAATGCCATTTATTTCCATTAGGATCCAATAAATCTGTGGAAGGTTCTATATGCTGCTCATTTGCTCAGATTGGAGTTGTCTGCCTGTTATCGTGTGTTGGTAAGCATTTTCGGTTGTAAAAAAATATGTTTAAGAAACTTCGGTCCTTCTCAAACTTACAACTTTCACATCAGGAAAAGTTACGAGTGAATATCTGAATTAAGACTGAATAATTTAAATTAAAAAATTGATTCAGGTTTATTCCAATTTTCTGATTTTACAGTATGTCCGATGTCGAAAACGTTCTTGATTTTATGCATTTTTCAAATACAGGATGTTCAGATTGTTGATTTCTTAAAGTTGGCATCGGAGCTCTTATCTAAAAAAATATTTTTTTGACTGATGATTTAATAAGACTTATTTCCTCGAATAGGAATCACTTACGTAACGTGGAACTGAAATCGTATGCTTAATGCTGTACCGAAAAAATTACTTCAAGTTGACCTTCGTTAGAATTCAGTTCCATTTTCGATTGCGTGTACTGTACCGGTAGTTGTTGTTTGAAAATGGACCAACATTTTTTCACCGCCCTACTAATGTTTCACTTATCATTAGAAAAATGTCGAGAGTGAGCTTTTTTTTCGTTTGCAGGGTTCGAAGTATTAGAGCATGATGTTGGAATAATAATGACGTCGATATTCTTGTCAACTATCATGGAAGCCAAAACGGATCAAGTGGATAATCTTGTTCTTCCTCTCCTGTCGTACGCTGTGCTTGTGCATCTTTAAATTTGTCAATTCTGTGATTCTGTGCAATTTGTATGGGTTTCTATGAGAATCGCATGTGCGAGATGCGAAATTTTCTCGGTGTAACGGTGGTTATTCCAACGCTGTTCAAACTCTGTGATGAATACTGGTGCCTTTTTGGCAGGAATGTTTTTTTTTTTCAGTTTTTGTCGAAACCCAGAGATGGGTGCTCGATGTTTCATTTCTGGGCTTTGTATCGAGGGATTTTAGTATAGGCATTGGTAAATTCATTTCGCTTTTCGTGTTTTTCAGTGATGATGGGCTTTACTTGCTGAATTCAACCCTTGAAATGCGTTTCAAGGATGTTATTTTGGGACGGGACGTTCCTTTTTTCGAAGGAAAATTATCATTTGTTGGGTCGAAGATGTCGGGTCTTGATTTTTCCCCCCACTGGTGTGTTGCATTTTAAATGAGCATTGTGGTATTTTCGAATTTTTCTTCAGAACGTTTTTATTTTAAAATGTCACAAGACGATTTTATACGATGTTCGTTTGCTTTTTGTGATAACCCGGTGGCGAGGAATTTAGACAACGTTCGAAAATATCTTTCGGTGAGTGTCCCTGGTGATAGCTGAAGCGGATTAATACTTACTTTTTCATTGATTGCAGATTCTCGATAATGATCTCCAAAAGGACGCAAATCGACTTGCCGAATTCGTCCGCAAAGATTCTTGGAAATTCTCCATTTGTACTGCAAATCTTCTTCGGAGGCTGGGAGAGAAATCTCCCGTGTCCTGGCAATTGGTTTGCGTTCTTCACAAAATAATAGTTACATCTGAAATGGCTCGAATAAAGGTTTGTCGTTGCAATTGGACCCTGATTTTCGTCGTTTTCATCGATAATTCTCTCGCAGTTCTGTGAAAACAAGTATCTCATGGGAATACTGGCTCGATTTTTCAATTCACCGGAATGGCCGGCAGTTGAATTGAAGTCACTTGCAGATACTCTTGCCGTGATGTCGTTGGACGTGAAGTTAACTGCGAACGACTACGTTGCGGAAGCACTTGCAACCGCAGCTTTGAATCGCATCTACACCCATGATGACGATGAAGGAGAGGCAATTCAGTGCTCATCTGGGATTCTTTTGATACACTGCCTCCAAGCCTGCCCTTCCTTAGTAGCGTAAGTGGATTCCTAAAAATAAAAATAAATTCAACCTCCCCGAATTAAAATTACGGCATATTGTCTCTCAGGTTAGGCAAAACGTTGGACTTGGTGAAATGCTTATCTGGCGTAAGAACCCCTCTGGGAGTTCATCTGCGGACGGTACTGGGGCATGTGTTTGGTTTCGGAAACATTCGAGATGTTCCGTGTGACGAAATGTGGAATGAATGCAGAAGTTCGAAGACGTATTCTGACTGGTCGACTCTGAAAGTTACATCATTTCTTGTCGAGTTTTTTGCCGAAGACCTGAATGTGGATTTTTTGAAGTGGTTCAAAGACTTGAATTGGAATCATCTCCATGTTTTATCGCTGAAAAGCATCTTGCGATTCTTGATGAAGGTAAGCTGCTTTCATCACTGAAGTATGTTAACTACGGTACATGACATAACCTTTGATTTTTTAATACGGTTGTCTATGATGGATGCATTTTGTGAAGGTAACATTTACGTTAGTATATATGAACTGTCCGAAATTTTTGTGGAGGGAATTATTGTATTGAACAAGTTTCATGGTCTTCTTGATCAGAATTTTTACTGTTTGCAGTTTTCGATGTCCCGATTTATGATTGAATTTTTCTGACGTTTTTTAAAATATGAAGGCATTGAATATAAAATATTTCATTTCATCTACAGATTCCAGGAAAAAGCTACGAAGAAAATCTGCTTCTTTGGGGCATTGCTTGTAAGGCTGTGCTGCATCCGTGCTTGGTGGGATATGGATTTTCTCTAGCTGCTGCCTCCTTTCCGGAACTTTCAGAAGCTGATATTAAGATCGACATTGCCACTGTCTTAGCAGTCCTGGCGGATGTGCTTGATGTCGAGTAAGCTCGAATTTGGTTGAATGTCTGATGATTTCCACTCAGTCCATTTTACTCATAGATATGAAGGTCCTGACGAGTGTGTCCTGAGTGGACTGAATTTCTTGGAGATTTTCTGCAGCAATGATGAAAAACTGGGAGGCCACGCAAAAATGATTTCATGCATTCTCTGTTATGTTGGGCCAAAGAAGATTGTCACCATGTTGAAAAACGTAGCATTCGATGCACATGCAACTGATGGGAGTGGGCGATCTCAAAATGCTTCCGCTATTGTAGCGAGGACACTTGCACTTTGTCTCAAGAATTTTTGCAGGATGGATGATTGGAAGAATGCAATGCTGAAAATTGCTGAAGACGGTGTAGTTATCCCTGGAGTAAAAGCCGCATTTTTCGATCCTTTGGACCTTCCGACTTTCCAAAATGCAATTTTTGCGATGCAGTGGTTCATTCAGCATAATTCGTGAGTGATTTCGCGGTTTTTTTTTCGGCAGTTCTTGACGAGCTTTATTGATGTAAACCTCGTTACAGAGCGGATAAACTCTATGATCACTGGAAATTAGCATCATTCCCCACAATGAGTAAACTAGATTTGCCGGGTTCCTGTGTGGGTTGTTCTGGAGGTAGCAAAGAGATTAGTCCCTCCTCATCTATGATATCTTGTGCGTCTGGAGATTCGGCTATCCACTCCGATGACCACCGAAATGTGAGTACAAACTAATAATCGTATTTTTCCTCCTTTTCATGATTCTCACGTTTTTTTTTTCTTTCAATAGAATGATGTCTTGCAAATCATCAAAGTATACGAGTCTAAAATCAGAAATATGAAAATAGAAAATGATGCTTTGAGAGGAAGAATGAGAAGCTTGCAAGACTGTCTTGATGATCGTCAGCTGTTGGAGAGTATGCGTGTTGATGAGGTTCGTTTTTTTAATCTTCCTTTTTTCCGATTAAAAATTTTTTTTTTCAAGACCTTAGAATTCCGAATGCTTTTGAGAGAAAACCTGGTGAAGCTTGAAGCTGCTGAAAGAAATATTAACGCCAGTCAACAGAAGTTCAAGGATAAGTTATCGCAGGAGCGCGTCGAAGCTGAAAAGAAGCAGGAAACACTGCGAAAGGTTTGCACTTGAGATAATCCGGCGAGTACTTGTTGGCTCCAGGATTACTGTTCCTTTTTTTTTTTTTTTCAGGAAATGGCCTCCATGTCTGAATTTTCCAGCAGATTGGAAGCTCGGATATTAGCAGTCGAAAAGGACCTAGAGTCAAGTGATGCAGCCAGAAAAGCGCTGCTGAAGCAATTGGATGAAAATCAGGCAGAGAAGTCCAAACTTCTCGAGAATTTGAAAATTCAATCCGATAAATGCCTAGGTTTGTGTTCATGGGTCTAGGGAACGATACACTGAACTACAGTAAATGTTTCCCGTCCCCAAAATTTACTCCTCGAATCGGTTTTGTATTGCGTTCGTGGAATTTTATCTGCAACTGTCTTACTTCATGATCAACTTCGGGATTCTCTTCCAGAACTCTCTGAATGCCTCAAAAGAGCGGAGAAGAAAATCGAGAATCAAGCCAGCAAACTGAAGAGCAGCAAGGAAGAAAACTCGGATCTTCAGGCGAATATTGCCAGCCTAACAGCACGTTTTGATGAATCCTCAGCTGTCAGTAAATTCTTGTAATTTGGCAAAACATTTGTTATAAAGCATTGCTTGTTTATTTTTCATTCCAGATGTCCAACAAGCTGCGTACCGAAATAAATACATTAGAAAAAATACTCGGAGAGAAAAACCACGAGCTGGAAGGGTTACGTGAATTCCAAGCTGCGATTCTCAACGTTGCCATTAAAAAAGGCCAATGAAGTGCCGCAAAGACTCAGTCGTTGTGATATTTTGCATGTTTTGTAAATTTGTACGATTCCGTCGCAGGAGTTGAATGCCTACGGTGGTATATATTTTGATGCGCGTTATTTTGTAAGATGAACTCGCGACTCTTGGATGCGGTAACAAGCCTCTTACGAGACTGGACCTCGTAATGAAATGCAAGTTTTTAAAATTTCGTTTTTTTATTTATTTCGTACGATAAAAATGGCTGTGAGCCTGAATTGTTTATTTTATTTTTTGTAAGTAGGAAATGTGTTCTATAGAAGATGGTGAATCTGTGGTCCCGCGAAAGAAATCGCGGTTGTCGAACGAGTTATCCTTGAGCCAAGTGGATGGCTCCCGAAATCCGCTGAGTCACATTTTCACCCAATGTCATGTGAGTATCGTGTGCGTTTTCATCGAATGCCACTCGCAGTATTCACAATGAAGTGGGTAATTTTTTCAGAGTGAACCTCAAGTGCCTCTGAATGAAAGGGAATTCTCCCCCGTTAGAAGGCTTTCATTCCCGCAGAGTCTTGACATGGATGTTGCGGACGACAAAGAGCACACCGAGCTGAGATTGAAAATGCTATTCTATACCTTCAAGGTAATTATTGAAGGTACTTCTCGCGGCCGTCGCTTCGAAATTCCCAGATAAGTTTTCCTTTGAGGAGATTTTTGCGAACGTTCATTACATTTGGAACGACTGCTGGACTTTATTTTGTTCTAATGCTGCAGCTCTTTGAACAATATTCTCGGAATACGTTACATTTTTGGTAGTTTTTACTGTGGGATTTATCGTTTGTTTCTTTTTCGTTTTTGAAATTGTTCCTCGTTCGTTTTTGAAAGGACAAGCATGTTTCAATTGCGAGGATTGTCTGTCTTTCTAGTTGGAAAATTTTATGATGGTCATAAAACATTATTATAACATCACTCCCCCCACCCGAAAGTTTCTGTAATTTCTTTGACTTCGTCAATATTTATTGCGGCATCGAAAAATTTGTTGCAGCGAAATGGGATTCGGAACGAATCCTGCGGCCGTTGTGATTATCGATCCTATTTCAAGATATTGGATCATTGCGCTTCATTGTTTATCCCGTCTGTGATGAAATCTCCTTGGATAATTCCCTTCGATCACCTGGACTGTGCGGGCTACATTCTGCGGGTGTCACATTTGGGTGTTCCTAAGGTTATAATCCAGTCATTTTTTATAATTCAAGTGGATATGAGTGAAATTTTCGAAATTTGCGACTTAACTAATTCTGTTTTGGGGTAACCTGTTGGTCACAAATCGTTATTGTTTTTCTTGAGGGCGACTCCTGAAATAATTTTGTTGTAAAATAGTAGACCAATTTAAACTGTGAATGTCCGGGTGTATTCCATGGTCTACGCTTTACTAGTCTTGACCAGTCTAAGGGAAATGATATTTTACAATATACACTGTACATTTTACTGGTTTATGTAAGAATGTAACAATCTTGTTGCAATAGTGTACTTGTCTAGAAAGATACAATTACTGTAAAATGCTGATTTCATTCGATGTGTTTTTACCGGAATTTTTGTTTCGTGCGATTCTAATCTAAGAGATCTCGCCCGGAGATTTCTTTTTGGATACTGCTTGAAACGTTAGCATAATTGTTCCAAAATGTATTTAGACGAAGATTTAAAAAAAAATTTTACTTGTTCTACTTGTTGCATGGTAGTTTTGACAGAAGTTCAAGTACGGTAATTGAATTTCAAATTTTTTTGGAACAGGTGAAGAAAAGATGATGAATGTTGAAAGTCTGATGCTGATGAATTTCTTTATTTTCAATTCAGCTCGAGATCGCTCATCCAGAGGGTAACCTGGAACTGATCCTTCATTCCGGGAGAGATTTGGACGTGATCACTACGTGTTTCAACATCTCACTACCTCCGCAACCTAAAACGTCATGGCTTGATGTGGATCGCTCGGTGAGCGAGGATTTGCTACGACGCATTTTGGCTGTCAGAAACGAACTCCCGGGGTCTCGGTTTCGTGCCCACTGCGTAGATGCCGAGACGGGTCGGATCAAGAGTCTGGACCGGATGACGTACGTGAGAGCATTGTATTTAGATTATGTGAGCCTAGCCAGAGCCGTGAAGGGGATTGCGGGGCTTTTGTCGCTCCGCGAGTACCAGGAGTTGCTTGTGGGATTCCTGTGTGATCCGGAGTTTTTGGATGGAGATTTCGGGTTGTCGGGTGAATTGCTGCGAAGTGAATGAAAAGTCGACGCAACGATTCCTTAAAGTCCGAGTTTCTGTGCGCAAGCTTTGAAAGAGAATCTATTTTTGCCGGGGGAACGGAATCACCTTTTTTTCTTCAAGTGGTTGATGTAAGCTGTTCTTTGATTTATCCTCTTCGTTGAGATTTCGTGTTGTTGGGTCAAGATATATACCGTAGTTTGAGGGGTCGGGTTGTCGGGTTATTCGCTGCAAATTGTATGAGAAGCTTACGCAATTATGCCACCCACCTGATTTCCAATAAGCAAACATTTGAAGTAAATTTACGTTGAAGTGGAAACCGGAGTAGCTTTTTGTTCCTGAAAGCATTTTGCTGAAAGCATCCTTCCCATGCGGATTTACACTTGATGAAACAATGACGGTTAATTATTTAATTCTTCCTCGACTTGAGAAAAGGTGGACGTTGTTCTAGAAATGCAGTTCGACGGTTAGAAGAAACTCGCTTCGGAATGTGATCCCATGGATTCGTGAAATGCTTCAGTTATTTTCAGGACACGGGTCTGAAATATCGGCGTGATGTTGTACTTTCTGTTCTCAGAAAAGAGAGTAAATTAGTTGTTTGTGCTAATATCTGTCGATTTTTTATGAAATTTTTGGACTTCAGCCCCGATTTAATCTCAAACCTAGAAAATATTTGTGCATACAGTATAATGTATTAAAACTTGGACCAATGTGCATGAAAGAACCATTCGTCCAATATTCTTGGGCTAGTAAAAATTTGTTGATCCTGGTCAGATCAATTTTAAGAAAGTAAGTAACTGGCCAGAAACTGAATAATGAACTCAAAACTTGTTTCATTGAATTTTTTGCATTATTTCTTTGTACATGCACATTATTTTTCAAGGTCCCTGCAGTGTAGCCATAATTGGAACCACACAGATCACACAAGACAGAACTTCGCAAGGAAACGTTGCATTTGCGAAGGGGTTTAGCCAATTTAGTAATCTTTTAAGGTTATCTGAGATCACTACAATACTTCGGTCAGTTGGCCAGTTACTGCACAATTGAGAAAGGTTTTGACAAGACCAGTTGGAACAAATTCAAAGTAGAGTACTGTATACTTTTATTTTAAATGAGACCGGAGTGATTTATATTCCTGTTGGGATAAGATTCATCCGTTAAGCTGAATTTATCAATGCAACATGGTTTCATTCAGTATCGGCTAAATTTATTCTGGTTGGGGAAAGCCTATGTGATAATATAAGCTATCAAGCATTCAAAAAGAGGTTACTTAGTTGCGTAGTAGAGTACTGAGGAACAGGTTTTCAAGGAGCTGCTTCAATTGAAAGTTTCTGATCATTAGATAATTTTTGGAATGCTGTACATGGGTCACGAATACATGGATTGAAAATTCGGGCATTGATTGTTGGGAGAATTAACCAATTCTAGTTATCCCATGAATGTGCCCATACATTTATTCCTTCCTATTCAAGCTGTTACAAACAAAAAATAATGGAAACTCAAATGCTTCTGCACCTATTCGATTCATATATTTTTTTGCTGTCCAGGTCAGCTGTCAAAATTTGTCAAATTGATATTGCATTTATCTTTTAAATATTCCGGTATAATATGAGGTTTTTCAACGACAAGCTCTTCCACTATGTCCATGTCATATTTGAGTTCACTGTTTTTGAGCATCCTATGCAATGCACACGATTAAAGAAAATTAATTACTGTACTGTGAGGTTCCGAAGTTTTTTGCAGCTGATGAAACCTTCATGATGCTCTACAAAATATTTCAGATTTTTTGAACGATAATGTGGACTTGGAATCCTAGGAATTGTCATACTTTCAAATTATTTAACTCAAGGAACTTTTCTTGATATGTTCGCAAATTCATTAGTAAATAAACCGAATTTTCATGCAAAATAAAAGTAATATTGTTCCAATCAAGAAACTCATTCTTGAAACACTTCTGAGGGCACAAAAATGATTTAGTAACTTATAAATCATGATGGCATCCAATGTATTTTTAGTTCTACCCCTTTCAATGGAGTCTCTCATCTGAAGTCAACTTTAAAAAAAATCAGTGGCAGCTTGATTCTATTACCCAAGGTACCGCCATACTGTTGTTGCTTTGTTTTGAGAGATTATGGGAATGTTACAGAAAAAAAACACAAGGACAATGACATTCAAAATTTCAAACTATTCGCTTTTTCTTGGCAGAGATTGTTGACATGGCATATTGACCCTTCCAGAAATTATCCCAGAGTTAAAGGGGGAAATTCAACCGATCTGTGAAACCCATTTTGCTCGACTGCTGATGCAGGGGAGAAATTCGCCCCCTCTCTCCTCTAGCCGTTTCTGGTTTTAATTGGACTCCCAGTTGTTGTCATCAGCTTGCGAAGCACTTTCGAAACCCCGTCCTGCTGCCCGCGAGGGGAGCCAGCATTGCAGCACCTGGCGCGGCAGGGGTGTAGCCCTGGCCCTCGGAGCACGTGCACCTGAGTCGCCCTGTGCTAGCCCGCACGCGTGCCTAAAAACGGGGATCCCGTCCGTGGCCAGGGATGGACCCTGATGCCGTCGAGGGGGGGTTGCCCCGGGACAATGCGCGGTGGCCCAAACAAGGACCCACACGCGGAATGCAGGGAAAACAAATTATGCCTCCGAGGAACGAAGGAGCGGGGAATAGGTAGAGGGCGGAGGGGGGTTCTGGCGAGCCACGGGCGGAGTGCGGAAAAAGTTTGGCGGGAAAGGTTCTTTCTGCGACAGGGCTGCTGCGTGTAACATACATGCACTCTTGCTGCTTTCCTTGAGGCACACGAACGTGTCTTGGGAGGCATTTCTGCGACTTCGGGGGTGTCTTGGACGAGGTGGGGATGAAAGCCCTCGGTTTAGGTTGAATAAATATTTTCATTTTATTTTTTAAATAAGTTGGTAACGATCTCTCGCGTTTTTGTTTTGGTTTGCTGTGGAAAGATACAGCCCGGGGCATTATCTGCGTCTGGGTTTTGGGTTAAGAAGGGATGATCTGAGGTCTACTGTCGGGTTTTTTTTCTGAACCAATCCAAGTCCTTTTGCATCAAATTATTGTTCAAGCTTTTTTTTTAAAGTTTGGTTAATTTATTTTTTTAGCTAGAGTTTTTAAAGTTTTGGTTTAGCTTTCTGCGAATGTTTTGGTTTGAGTTAGATTTAATTTAATTTTGTTCTGATTTTTAAATTTTAGCACGACTCCCAGAACAATTCTTCATTTGTCAAAAATAATTCCTTATTTCTCAAGATCAATTCTTCATTCATCAAGATCAATTATTCATTTCTCGAGGAAAATTATCTAATTCTCAAGATCAATTCTTCCATGTTCAAGATGAATTCTTAAATTCTCAAGATCAGTTGTTCAATTCTCACGATTATTCAATTCTCGAGATCAAGTGTATAAGTTTAAATGCAGTTTCTTCGGCTTTGGTGTGAGAGTTCTGTACATTGGTTCGAGGTTTTTAAAACTCTTTGTCCCCTTTTTTACTTTCAGGTACAGTACGAGTATATATTTCTAAATTCACATTTCAGTTGTGGTTTCTTATGCTATAACGGCACTTTCGATCTTCCATGTATACTGCACGCGGAGTTTCAGATTTAATAAATAAGTTTTTTCAAGGCTATTGTGTTCCAAAATTAATTCAAGTACAGGTACAAATATCAATTCTGCTTTTGTTCAGGATACTTGAAAAATGTTAATGCATTTTTTAAGGACCGATCCAAATCAATAGAAAATGTCGAGTTTGTTTTTGCACAGTAATATCGCCGCTGAAGGGCACGAAGATTATTACGAACTGCTGTAGTTTATTTTACTCCCTTAGATGTCGCCAGTGCATGAATCCCGCTTGAATCCCCTGGATTATTAACGCGAGCGAACGTCTCTATGTTCGTTTCACTTGAAATTGTTTTTGCGCTGATGGATTTCTTTGGCTATTGGATCTCAAGCCGATAATCTGAATTCACGGAAAAATGAATGCTGCAGATTTTTTGCAGGGTTTCCTCAAGTTTTTTGTTTTATTAAAATGATTCGTTTCCAGATTTGCCGCTGAGGAGCACATGCTTCAGACGAGGACTTCCCCGCCGAAGGTGCGACGCTGAAGAACACACGCATGAAGGTTTTCCCTTCTCTCTACCCCTCATCCCTCCCTCCCCTCGTCCTCCTTCTCCAACATACACACACTCCCTCCAGAGGCTCTATGTACTGCCTATATGACCTGGGACGGGCTGGTTTGCAGGGCAAGCAGAGTTCTCCAGGACATCCCTCGGGAAGCAACCTCGAGTATGTAGCCTCGGTTTTCAGTTCTCTCTTGTGCCTCGTGGAGAGAGTTTCCCTTTGCGTTGATGGGTCAAGCGGGTTCTTTTTGCGTGTGTATGTGCGGCAGAATTCGTATTCGTGTGTTGGCAGACAGGCTGTGTGAGTTGATCAATTATTGAGAAGCGATTAATGTTGATGACGAGGACCTGCTTTTCTTTTGCTCTCTTTGTGGATGCGCGCGTTGATGAAATGATGCATGTTACGTGTGGTGGTGAATTGATCAAGGGTGAATTATTCAACGTGCTTCGAGACGAACTTCGGGGTCAAGTGAATCATAATCTGAAACCATAGATTTTTTTCGTACTCCCGTGGAACTTTCGTAAAAAGCAGTATTTTTTTTTTCATTGTGCATTCGACAGTGAGAGGTATCTGGAATAGTCAGATGGGTTTTTACGATCTCGAGGGGGATTGTATATGGGTGATGTATTTTCGACGTAAGCACCAACTACGTGGAAAGCGACTTTTTTTTAGTGAGGAAAATGTCTTCTTGTTCTTGAAAATCTGATCGTTCGGTGTTTTTAATGAATGGTGGATTATGTGCTGCTGGTGTGGGATTGTGTTCGATTGAAGCACGTGATTTGGACGATGGGCAATAAACAGAAAGGAGGTATTGGTTAACCATTCCATTATCATCATCATTTTAAATATCACTCGTATGCTGAAATATTATAGTTTTTTATTCGAAACAGTCATTTACGTGTTGATTTTTACTCCGGGAATTGCGAAAATCGAGTCGAAATTGACGCACGAAGAATTAAGTCAAGAAATACCGGTATAGAGATGGAATTTTTGTCAAGATGGACGCGTTAGGCAAAATTATGTCATATTTCCGAGTTGGTCTCTAACGTGTTATTGCGTGTTTGATTTGGAATTCCAAGTGCATTGGGAGTAAATCCGTAAAAGAAATTCCTTGGGAAATATTGTCGAATTAGAAACCGTCATTACAGGAAGCTATCATCGTAGAGAGAATTATTCGCACTTGTATATTTGCCAAGATGAAAGGCGTAAGTGTGCAAAATTTCCGCGATAAAACAAGTTCGGGTTAAGCCAGCGAACACTCGAAATTATCGTATGTTCTCAATACTACGGAGTGTGGATCAGCAGTCGAAGGATCACTTCATTGATGATCGTGATTTGAAATTCAGTGAATTAACGGATTGCGCTGTGCAAAAGGGAATTGAGGCAGTTAATTATTGAGCTCCTGAGCAAGCCTTATTCTATGAAGTTGGCGCTGGTTTTCTTCTGAAATCAACGTAGAAGAGAACATTTTCACTAAAACGCAAGCAATATTACACATCGCATGTCCACGCCTTTTATGGATATAAAGTTATAAACGACCAATGCTTTTTTCTGCAGGTGCACGTCATGCAGCCGTATCTCGCCTTTGTTTATGCTTCAGTAACCTAAGTGCGAATGAATAATTTACAGAGAAAAATAACACAGGGTTAGTGATTTGCAGGCATCTGGTTGCTGGGGTTTCCGAATGTTTCGCTCTTATGTGTATCATTAACCGACGATACTTTCAAGGAAAGGAGTTCGAAGTTTATCATCGGCTTTTGATCAAAAGCTCATATACACTGCGAGGATGAGTGAGAAATGCCACAGTGCTTAATTTCCTTAGCAAAACAAACACATGTATAAGCATGGTCTTGGCTTATAAAGTGAATCCCTTCCAGAGCAGAGTTTGTTATCCAAATACAATACAGTCTAACTTCTCTAAGTCAAATTTCAAGGGACCAGCAAAAATTGACTTGAAGAGGTCTCAACTAGGGAACATTTTGAGTTGAAGAAATGAATGTTTTTGTTTTGGGAAACGTAGAAGAATTGCCGGAAATTGTAAATGAAGATATTCTGGGCCTTTGACTGCTTCTTGAATGAGTTAACTGAATGCTGAACTTTGAAGCAGGGGTTCATTTGCGCAATTAGACTTTCACTTCCTTTCAAAACACATCAAGTTACATTTTTATTGAATTTCTCTCTCCTGTGTCAAAAAATGATAGCCTAAAGGCCTGCAGAAAATTTGAGTTATCAAGATTTTAGAGGAAATGCCTTTGAGTTTTGGGAATTTTTGATGCATTGTTTCTGAGGGGATTCAGATGGGGACTTGAAATAAATTTGACTTTTGGGGAAGTACTGTATTTGACTTAAGGAGGTATGAGTTAATGAGCTTCAACTGTAGTAAAATAGCTTGGTTAGTCAAATCACATTTTCTTTGGAGGAAGTAGAGGAACAATTTTATTTGGTTCCAGTAGCTTGAAAGTGCCCATGAAAATCAAGAGAATTTGTTCAAAAATCATATGTAAGCCTAAAATTCAATATATTTTCACAAGAAAATATAAGAGAAAATCACTGCAGTACAATAACCCTTTAAACCTTTATTCTTCTGTGAGCTATTGTAAAAATTTAAAAAGTTCTGCATTTCTGTAACACTTCCTGGTTGGTTTCTCTGATGTCAGATGTAGCATTCATTAACTTGGTTAAATAACAGAATCCAAATGAATGTTGCACACAATATAGATAATAAACTATTTATTCACTTACTGTACAATGCATTAAAGTAAATGAGATGCTAACACTTGGAGTACTTGAAGGTTCAATAAAACCTCAATGTTGAAAATCTCGTGGCATTCAATTCATATGTTCATTGGCAATCACAAATTGCATGTTGAACATAATTTTAATAATAAAGTCATGTTTTAACAAAAGAACAAAGGTTATAAATGAATGACAAAAGAAAAACTCAAGTGTGTTACAATCCAATTTCTATGCATTTCCTTGAGCAAAAATCCTTCTTGTACCCTGGAATTTTAATGTGAGTTTCTCCAGAAGTTTCTTTTTCTTGAAAATTTTGTAGAGAATAAAAATAATGGAAGAGACTTTTCTCCTATATTCTAGCCAGAGAAATGACATACACAATGAATGTTGGAAGAAACTGCTCTCTTTCATGCAAAACCCCTCTTTCGTGGCAATAGTATAACAGAGTTTGCGAATGGGCTGAAAACATATTTGGAACCCTCTCCACTAACAACACGTCGTGGTGACATTTTGTTACCGCCATGCTTGATGGCGTACATTGGGTTATGCTCTTTTCCTGGTGACCTGGTTTTTCCTCCTACTGCTCGCCTGTCCCTTTGTAACCCCCCCCCCCCCGCCTTCCACAATTTCTTGGTGTGTGTCATATTCTTCGGTGTGGGGCTTTATTTTTTATTCTTGATATAGTAAATTATTCACCTTCTGTTGGGATTGTGATCAAACTTTCATTTCTGCGGCGCGGCGCACAGAAAGCTGTCTTGTCTTGTTAGCGTAACGCGAAGCGCCTGGGCATTTTGCGTGGTGCAAAATTTATGATGGGATCGGGCTTCGAATTTGCGTCGTGACCTTTATTGCTGAATGGATGCGCGTTCGATGGGATATATGGTGTCTATGGTAGAATCGGATATGGAGTTTCTGGGCAGTTTCATGCTCATATTCCGGTACTTCTCAATCACTCGAACTGTTCCTTTGTAGGATGCCGTATACAGTACACGCGAGGGTTGTCCCAGTTGGACACGGCCTTTGATATTTTTTGAGTATACGTGTGATTGTAAAATTTAAAAAACGTGACATGGCATGTAATGTCACGGAGTTCTGCGTTTTTTTAAAGGATTTTTGAAGAAGCTTTTCAATTTACTGCCGGATGATAATTTTTTTTATTACAGTACTGTACACAAATTTTTCAGGCCATGGAATCGAAAATTTTGATGTTCTACCATTTAAATTTTACGCATTGGATAACGGTTGAAACAACCAAAAATTTCACAATTTTTTCCTCACAAGAATGGGACAACCCTCATTCATATGCTCAATTTTCAATTGGAACATGCAGTTCAAATACTGTATATACTGGTGGTACCCCAAAATTTTATCTCCCGCAATTTGACGGTTGAATTTGCATGGAAGTTGACTTGCAATTTGACCCTTGCCCCGCAATTTGACCAGCTTTGGCCATTTTTTTGCAGTTTTTTACTTCAATTTTTAAACTTCAGGGAGTGTCTCGCAAGTTGACCAATTCTCAATTTGACCCTAGTTTGACAATGGATTAGGGTCGAATTGCAAGGTACCACCTGTACTCAATTAATTATTATTTTATGCATATTTTATGCACACTGTATATCACCAAGAGAGTACAGGAAAATCTCTTTTACGTCAAACTGCAACAAGGAACTAAAAAATATAATTATGGAGGTTTTGAAATAGGGAAAAAATAATTTTTGTTGGAGTAAAGTAAGAAAGAATAGCAGGAAATTTTAATTTGTGATATTCTGAACCTGAAATTCCTTCATAAATGAGTTGACACAGGATGCTGAACCTGGAGGCAAGGGTTCACTTGCAAAATTAATCTTTCATTTCTTTTCAAAACACATCATTATATTTTTATTGATTTTCTCTTTGATGTGCAGATTAAATAATCACGAAAAGTTCCTCAGAATAGTCGAGTTATGGAGGTTTGAGGGAAAATGCCTCCAATTTAATTAGGTTTTTAATTCATTGCTTATTATCTTACAAATATGTCCTAACACACGGGATCTTTGTGTCCGGCACATGCATGGAAAATTATTCCTCATGAAGCTTTTTTTTAAACGAGCAGATCTTCATTGAAAAAACTTTCTTCATTCTCTTTGATTTAAACCCGAGTGTGATACGTTGGAATGTTTCATTTTTGAACGAGTTTCGCGCTCCGACACTTTTGTTGACTTAATTTACAGTGGCTATTATTTTTCTTTCGCAGAAACCCTATAATTTATAACCGAGGGATCCACGCAAGCAGAGCAATAAGATAACCGAAGCAACTTCCTTTTCTACTTAGTCTTTCAAAACGGATTCCCTCCACGCAAAAAAAAAGAAAGAAAGAAAAGAGAGAGAAAGAGAGAGGAGAATTTAAGTACCAGACAAGGACGCCGCGCTTTTTGTTTTTATCATCTTGCGTGCCAGAAGTTTTTTTTTTCCACCACTTCTCGGACGCCATGTCGTCGGAAATGGCTCGCGTGGAATGATCTCGAGATGAGTCCAGGAAGTGGAATCACAAGCAGTTTGGCGGGCAACTTCCGGCAGACAGCAGCTGCAAAATTCTGAAGAAAAAGGGGGGGGCGCTGGAGGAATTCGCGAGGGAAGAGAAACAGTCCGTCAAGCTGGGGAACGCCATCGGAGGAATGGGGGCCCAGTGCTGCCCCGCTGGCTGTGGATCGTCTGCGGCACCCAAGTCCAACACGACTGGTGAGCCGAATATTTTCTGCATATATACAGAGGTCCCCCCACGCCTAACATACCTCCCATGTAAAGGCATTTTTGCCCAACAGACCAGCTCTGAAGGCAGTTTTTCCTCCTGCCCAACAGACAAAATCCACCAAACAGACTTCTTTTGGCTTGTGTTGAAAATTGACATTTTAAATTTTTTATATACCGTATTTACTTGAGTACCATGCGCCCTCAAGTAAGGCACACACACGGGTTTTTCAGTTGGAAATTTGGCTAAAATCTTATACCCAAGTAAGACGCAATTTTTAGTGAATCTAAAACCACAAAATTTAGAGAAAAATTCAAAAAATTTGACTTTAGACATGAATTGAACAAAAATCCGATCAATTTT